ATGTGATAATGGTGTTTTATATTAAACACTGTCTCAGCTCTGTAGCAATGCTTGATTTTTCATCGATTATGTGCTGTTGATATATATAGAAAACATTATAGACAAGCTGACCGTTAAGAAATTGCACATCTTTATTTTATACTTGAAGATGCATAAATGTCTGTTCCAAACTCGTTAACATTCACAGATTATCATGGAAACTGCACATTTCCAAATGCACAAAATCTTTAAGATGACCGTATCTACAAATTAGGATGACTGCAGTTATGAAAAAGGACGACAGCAAGCACAAAGACAACCCCATGAAATATCAATGATAAAGCTAGATTGTTGGTTTACAGATATATGTCAACCAATTTTACGTGGGGAAATGTGTTCAACATGACGCACGTGACAAATTCTGTACGTACATACTTTTCTAACCGTATAACTGACATTGTCTTTATATCATAAAGTGATCTTAAAGCTAACGTTGATATAGAAAACAGTCGGATGGCGGTATAAAATCTGAAGATTTTGATGTGAAATAGTAATCTGTTTCGTGACAATAAAGTGAATATTCTTATAAAACCGCTTTAACAAATGAGACTCATTAATAACTTTTAAAATTAGGTTTGAAATCAGACCAAATGATTTTGTCATTGTTCTGGGTATGTGATAATGGTATTTTATATTAAACACTGTCTCAGCTCTGTAGCAATGCCTGAATTTCATCGATTGTGTGCTGTTGATAAATAAAAGAAAACATAACATTTTCAAAATGGACAAGCAAACCCACACGAAATTTCCAAATGTATGTTCATGAGATAAGATTCCCTTCTAGATCTGTTATTACGTGGGGAAATTTCCAAATGTATGTTCATGAGATAAGAATCCCTTCTAGATCTGTCATTACGTGGGGAAATTTCCAAATGTATGTTCATGAGATAGGAATCCCTTCTAGATCTGTCATTACGTGGGAAATTTACAAATGTATGTTCATGAGATAGGAATCCCTTCTAGATCTGTTATTACGTGGGGAAATTTCCAAATGTATGTTCATGAGATAGGAATCCCTTCTAGATCTGTCATTACGTGGGGAAATTTCCAAATGTATGTTCATGAGATAGGAATCCCTTCTAGATCTGTCATTACGTGGGGAAATTTCCAAATGTATGTTCATGAGATAGGAATCCCTTCTAGATCTGTCATTACGTGGGGAAATTTCCAAATGTATGTTCATGAGATAGGAATCCCTTCTAGATCTATCATTACGTGGGGAAATTTCCAAATGTATGTTCATGAGATAGGAATCCCTTCTAGATCTGTCATTACGTGGGGAAATTTCAAAATGTATGTTCATGAGATAGGAATCCCTTCTAGATCTGTCATTACGTGGGGAAATTTCCAAATGTATGTTCATGAGATAAGAATCCCTTCTAGATCTGTCATTACGTGGGGAAATTTCCAAATGTATGTTCATGAGATAAGAATCCCTTCTAGATCTATCATCACGTGAGGAAATTTCCAAATGTATGTTCATGAGATAGGAATCCCTTCTAGATCTGTCATTACGTGGGGAAATTTCCAAAGGTATGTTCATGAGATAAGATTCCCTTCTAGATCTGTCATTACGTGGGGAAATTTCCAAATGTATGTTCATGATCTTTTAAGATCTTCAAAGACCGTCTTTCTAAACAAAATGAAACATTTAATGTACCTGATTACTACCTAGTTGGAGATCGTAAGCTAAATATTTTATTAACGAAACTCCGCCATAAATGCAGCCCTTTAAATGAAGATCTCTTCAACATTAATCTAATCGACTCTCCTTGTGCATGTGGATATCCTTGTGAAAATGCTCATCATTTCTTCTTTGCATGTGGTAGATAAAACGAACAACGTCTTGCCATGTTCATAAACCTTCATAAGTATTTTGCCATTACGTTTAGATTAACTGTTAATTGGTCATGAAGACTACTAAAGTGATGATAATAAGGATTCATTTCCAACGGTATATATTGAGCACTCGCCAGTTTAGACAGGTCACGCTCCACGTTCTTGTGTCTCTCTATAAAATCGCATAATTATTTCTTTCCAATTAGTTTAATTTTGTGTCCGGTATGATATGGTGTAAGATATGTTTAAGAAATATTTTGTAATAATGTATTCGAGTGAAACTCTCTCTCTCTCTCTCTCTCTCTCTCTCTCTCTCTCTCTCTCTCTCTCTCTCTCTCTCTCTCTCTCTCTCTCTCTCTCTCTCTCTCTCTCTCTCTCTCTCTCTCTCTCTCACTGTCAATATATACCTCTCTCTGTCTCTCTCTCTCTCTGTCCTCTCTCTCTCTCTCTCTCTCTCTATATATATATATATATATATATATATATCTGACTCTCTGAACATCTCTGGTGGTCGTGACAGCCTCTGTTTTATCATTATCTCTCTCTCTCTCTCTCTCTCTCTCTCTCTCTCTCTCTCTCTCTCTCTCTCTCTCTCTCTCTCTCTCTCTCTCTCTCTCTCTCTCTCTCTCTCTCTCTCTCTCTCTCTCTCTCTCTCTCTCTCTCTCTCTCTGTACAAATATTCTCTCTGCACTCTCTGTCAGAATGACTTTTATTTCTCTCTGTAAATCTCTCTCTCTGGTCTCTCTCTCTCTCTCTCTCTAATATATATATATATATCGGCTGGTATGGTGTCTCAACACATTATTACATATCTAATAATGTTAAGGCTCTGACAGGCAATTGTTCGATAAGGTTGCTAGTCCCACATTTCGGAAAGTATATTTATATATAAGTTTTTGTACGTCCCTTACGTCAGATGTTATATCAAAGCTTTAGTATGTACCACCTGTGGGACGGCTAGTCCAGGATTCATTAATCTGAAACCACTCTTTGCTGCTTTAAATATTGCTCATTTTTAATTCATAATCATATTCATACGTACATGGAATTAATGTTGCAGTGTAAGTTTTATGTCTGGACCAAATCTTATGGTATATTCCACTAGTACAAAGAAATATGTTCACCGAGAGCATATGATGTGTAATTAAAAAAAATACGATTGTAGTATTCGTAACCTAACTCAGTAATGCTATTGTTAAAGTGCAATTTTGATGAATCCAAACAGAAAACAACATGAAATATAATAACCCTACACATTGGTATGATCGACAATATTTCGATTGACGATAAACATATGTAAAGTTAATAAATGTATATATCCTACACAATTCTCATTGACGACAAATCCAGTTTTACTAACAATAGACATATTTACTGACCGTGGTAGTCACGTACGTCAGTCTACCATTTGTTGTCACCTGTGGGTTAAATAACATTGTAGTATATCAAGATGCACGGTAACATCTTAGTCAAACTTTGTATGAGAGGTGTTGTTGAGATCAGTCATCCATATCATACTGAAAAACACACACAACTGAATAGTGTTTAATATAAAATTAGGTACAGCATATCACCACGAAGAAGGCTGAAATGTTGAAATGTAGGCGGTGTCTTAGGAAAACTGAACGAAATAAATGTAAAAAGGGAAGAAGTAGGACTGTACACTGTCTTTAAGAGTGTCTGTTTGGTATGTGAGTTAGGGAAATATTTCAATGGAGCCCTTGGCGAGCCAAAATGGGAACAAATATGTATCGCATATTAAGCCCAAACTAAGATCTGATAAAATCTGACAGCTAACTAACACTAGGCCCTGCATTAATTGCAATGAAATGTAGCCTTTCTATTGTATAGTTTCACTCCAAAGAAAGTGGTCAGTGGTGTGCCTCGGGCAATAAAAATGACGTGTGTGCGGGTATATAAGTGACAGATCCATTCCGGACTGGTCTCCCTTGTAACAACACAACACATATGGTTATTTTTGTTTACAAAATGGTAGGAAAATAATGAAAATAACTTTGATTCTTTCCCAAAATGCAGCTGGTATAAATTATACGACTGAAATAATTGAAAGAATCATAATGATGAATATAGAAAATATCTTTTAAAAGATTCAAATCAAGTAAAGGTTGCGTCTCCGTTCTGCTGCTGGCAGCGAATTCGCTTTTCGAATTTCCAATCTCCAATACCCAATCCGCTGCTCAGCCCCATTTACACTCGGGAAGGGGCAAGTGAAGACTGTGCTGGCATTAAATGTTGATATTGTCCGATTCTCCCTCTATATATACATCCTCTCTCACTGAACTCCCTAGTCGTCCAGTTCCCTTTGCAGTGATCCTTATGGTGTCCCGCTCTCCCTCTCAATATACATCCTGGAATTTTAAGAAGTGTTACCCTGGTAACAGCGATGGGATTGGAAGTTTAAGAAACGTTACCATGGTGATAGCGATGGGATTGGAAGTTTAAGAAACGTTACCCTGGTGATAGCGATGGGATTGGAAGTTTAAGAAACGTTACCCTGGTGATAGCAGTGGGATTGGAAGTATCAGAAATGTAACCCTGGTGACAGCGGTGGGATTGGCAGTTTAAGAAACGTTACCCTGGTAACAGCGGTGGGATTGGAAGTTTAATAAACGTTACCCTGGTGACAGCGATGGGATTGGAAGTATAAGAAATGTAACCCTGGTGGCAGTGATGGGATTGGAATTTTAAGAAACGTTACAGTATTCACGAAAGAACAAGGCAATGGTGTGATATAATCTGTCTAAACTTGGCTTTTTATGACCTCGTTTAAGATTCCTCATTAATCATGTAACTTCTTCTCGCTTCTGAATCAGTTTTTTCCGTTATATAATCTTAAACGTGTACGTGAAATATAGACAATCTGCAGTATAAATATTAACAAAGTGGTCTAGAGTCTCAACAGTGCAACACCGCTCCTGGGCACGACCTGGGCTGACGTAATGACGCTAATGGCTCTCCCATTATCGTTTAGTTGTATGAGTGTGGCTTGTCGACGTAGGAGTGACGGAACGCACAACACTTAATAGTGAAACAGGAGGAGGTATTACATCTAAAGGAGGAACATCAGAACTTGTTATGAACTTTTAATTAATTTCTGTTAAATGAATCCATATATATTTTGGTTTGTGTGTATCCTCAATATTTGGGGGTCTCGTGCAGCACCATATATAGATCCTTACGTAAATCCGGACAGATCAGGTTTTAAGCCCGGGGTTGACCTCAACCCTGGGACGGAATTTAACATGGGCAACTGGACTGCTGACTATAACATGACTTTTGATAATGACATCTCATCACCTGTGGAATTCGACAGGAAAATTCCGGGACAGACCGTTACTCTAACAGAAGATAGAGAGATGGTAAGTGTGGCCAGCATTTGATCTTGTTTTGTATTTCCTTTTAATTATATTGTGCGTTTGTGAAATGTAGTAAATGTAAAAAAAATTCCCTTCACTAATGCGAGTTTCTGCAAAATATTACAGCAACTAGAACGGATGCGATTTTGCTGAAAATATATGGGGTCATTTGCCCGACCACATGGATTTTCCCGGTATTTTTATTTCTTCCTAAAGAAAGACCCCTCAATTACGTCCCTCCATGCTAACAAAAGTGAATGTTTTAAGTTAGAATAGCTAGAAACCTATCAATATCTTACGTTCCTGGAATAGCTTTTTCCAGCAAATCTCATAAGATAGTTAATGTTGATTTGATAAAGTTTTCTTCAAATCATAAATAATACAGATATTGCGTGCCCAGAACAATGTTAATGTTAGTCACTGTGTATAAACATTCAACACGAACAGTTCGGAACTATATGATAAAGAGCGGAACGATTGTTTAATGTTAATGTGTAAAACTATATCCCAGAACTTCGGTTGTCGATATCTTACAAAAGATAACATTATATTTACGTTTTTATATCACAATTCACTACCTGTAATTAAATTATCACACATGATATTGGCCTTAAGGTATCAGTGTTCCCTATCTGTAATAGTCACCACACATTACACTGACCACTGGTATCGGTGTTCCCTATCTGTAATAGTCACCACACATTACACTGACCACTGGTATCGGTGTTCCCTATCTGTAATAGTCACCACACATTACACTGACCACTGGTATCGGTGTTCCCTATCTGTAATAGTCAACACACACATGACCACTGGTATACTTATACTTACCACTGGTACCACTGGTCACCACACATTATACTGACCACTGTGTGTTCCCTATCTGTAATAGTCACCACACATTACACTGACCACTGGTATCAGTGTTCCCTATCTGTAATAGTCAACACACATTACACTGACCACTGGTATCAGTGTTCCCTATCTGTAATAGTCACCACACATTACACTGACCACTGGTATCAGTGTTCCCTATCTGTAATAGTCACCACACATTACACTGACCACTGGTATCGGTGTCGTGTTCCCTATCTGTAATAGTCACCACACATTACACTGACCACTGGTATCAGTGTTCCCTATCTGTAATAGTCACCACACATTACACTGACCACTGGTATCAGTGTTCCCTATCTGTAATAGTCACCACACATTATACTGACCACTGGTATCAGTGTTCCCTATCTGTAATAGTCACCACACATTACACTGACCACTGGTATCAGTGTTGACTATCTGTAATAGTCAACACACATTATACTGACCACTGGTATCAGCGTTCCCTATCTGTGATAAAGTCACCACACGTTATACTTACCACTGGTATCAGTGTTTCCTATCTGTAATAGTCACAACACGTTTATTTTTATAAACATACATTAACGCTTAACCTATCGTTATTTCGAATTATTCATATAATTTGTTTGGTCTGTTGTGTAAAAGAATGAAATAATTCCAATCCGTTTTTTATTATTATTTAATAAGCCTTAAGATTGATAAGAATAATGCATTTTCGAAGCCAAATAAACTGAAAAAACATGGTTTTAAAATTACAAGTTGATACCATATATTATGGAGCACATGATTGCTTCAGAAAAGTCTATGTATTATTTAAAACAAGTCTATTTATTGTTTAAGACAAGTCTGTATATTGTTTCAGACAAGTCTGTGTATTCTAAAAGGCAAATCTGTGTATTGTTTCAGACAAGTTTGTGTATTGTTTAAGGTAAACCTGTGTATTGTTTAAGGCAAATCTGTGTATTGTTTAACAAATTTGTGTATTGTTTAAAAATCTGTGTATTTTTTAAGACAAGTCTGTGCATTGGTTAAGACAAGTCTATGTATTGTTTCACACAAGTCTGTGTGTTGTTTCAGACAAGTCTGTGTATTGTTTCAGACAAGTCTGTGTATTGTTTCAGACAAGTCTGTGTATTTACTTAAAGCAAACCTGTGTATTGTTTCGGACAAATCTGTGTATTGTTTCAGACAAATCTGTGTATTGTTTCAGACAAGTCTGTGTATTGTTTCAGACAAGTCTGGGTATTGTTTAGGACAAGTCTGTGTATTTTTATAGGCAGTCTGTGTATTGTTTAAGACAAGCCTGTAACTTGTTTAAGACAAGTCTGTATATTGTTTCAGACAAGTCAGTGCATTATTTAAGACAAGTCTGTAAATTGTTTAAGACAAGTCTGTGTATTGTTTATGGCAAATATGTGTATTGTTTCAGACAGGTTTGTGTATTGTTCAAGAAAAGTCTGACAGATAATGGCAAATATGGTAGAATCAAATACTTCTAGATGGAGGGTGATTTAGCTGCATGACTGGCTTTGTGAATGATATTACCCCAGTGTCTCACAAATGCCCCCGGAAAAGAGCAAACTTTTACTATAATCCATATGAGAAACTTAATTTTAATGGTTAGAACGAATAACATTGGATGGTATTAAACGTTAGGGACATTTTATATTTACATATGTAAATATACACATATATAAACAAGGTTTCCTACATGGTAAAAAATATGTCTGAGACAAGTTTTATTATGTAATTATCTTAATTACCAGTAGTTATACTCATTTTTGTTAATTACTAATATGTTCTATGGCCTAGTCGAGCTTTGATTGACTTAAGGCTCCCGTTGATTACGTTATGACGTCATAATTTACCACAGACGATCGGTAGAATGACCGTATTTCACGAAAGACGACTAGAAAATAATCGTTTTTTTCACAGCTGATGAAACAATAAGAGGTATTTCGCAACTAATGGTCATACATGTTTTGAGTAGATGTCAGTGATTTTTCTGTACAATGTCATTCTTAATTTTTTTTATTTATTTTTTTTTTTTTTTGTCAGGATATTTTCCTATTCAAGCCAACCGATGAGGATGTCTGTTACATCAAAGACTTGGCTGATTTTGAGGATGATGTCAATCAGGTACCTATAGCAAGGCTGATAGCATTATTGATCATTAACACTTTCAAATTTCGAGTATTTATTGTGGACTGTGTGATGTTTATAGACCTACTGATGCTGACAAACTAGAAAAAAAAAATAATTAGAATAAGTCTGAGATGTAACAGGACTTTCCCTCCCAAAGTAGTCTATATCCATTTTATTTTGAAAGAGGTCTGGAACTTTTGTAGACATGAAGTGGTCCTTTTCCACACGAGATATATATATAAGGCTTCCTCCTCTATCTGTACTTTTTCCTTCAACAAACTCCTCTTTTTCTCTTTCTGCTATCTGAGCATGGAACCAGGTAGGTACCAACATTAGACATGAAAAATGAAAACGTATTGTTTTAAATTAAAAAAAATTGAATTAAATTCTATCTTCAAGTAGTTTTATGGGGACTGTTACGGGATACATTTCGCCATTGTTCTGAGCAAGCTAATCAGAGGTTCCAACACATGGAATTTGATTGTCAGTAAATGTGAGCTGTTTGAGAGGTCAGTTCTAGGTTTCAACATGTATTGAAAATAACACACATTGACAATCGTAGTTAAGATGAGTGGGACATTTCAGTGATAAAAATCTGAGATCTAATTACTGGTAAATATGACATTAACATGTTAATCGGGTTTTGGAATAGAATTGTGGTACTAAATGTGAAATGTTGGTTTTGATTCAGAGATGTTTTTCTCTCATTGGAAACACTGTTAATTGTTCACCTTACATTTGCAGACCAGAAAGCAAGACGATGGTAATAACACAAAGGAAAATTCAATCCCAGAACAAATCAATTTATCACTTCCGGAAAAATGCCGATCTCTTCCCGTCAAATGGTTGGACGAGTTTTACCGTAACAACAGTATCCGGCCCAACAATCCAGGCAAGTCTGTTATAACACACGCTTTATTTCCGGGATAGCTGTTTAGTGTTCACATTACGTATAATATTTTGTCATTGAGTCTGTGTATGGTCGGTATAACCTAAGTTTTAAATTCTCACTTCTGCTTTTTTTACAGATATAATAAAGTCTCTTCGACGCTTTCCCGGTCACAAGCGATTTTGCACTTTTGAGTCTCAGACGGTGCGAACTCAGACTTGCTATTGCTGGTCCTGCGGAAACGCATCAATCGAAAATAAAACAATGGTATGTCTGCGCGCCTTGCAAATCAACAGCCGCCTCAACTGTAAGAAGGAGATCACGAACTACCATTCGGATAAAGAATACTTCGTGTTGGAAAAAGATTTTAACGATCAAATAATGACGTCATCACAGTGAGCTCATCTATATCAACTTCAACAATAAAGATCGCAGGTGACGCTGCAGTCTTAAATATCACGTGATCGCACACACATTCTGAAATGTATTTTATATTGAAATTACACAGTCTTTATCAACACATACGTTCTTGTTAAATGTGTTGGTCATTTAAGTTTTCAATTCGGTTTTTCTTTTTTATATACTGAGAGGAAAAAGAAACGCAATTAGGAATTTCCAGGTCAACTACGGGAAAAAGAAAAGGGTTTTAGAATGTAATTATGTTGTGACTGGAAGATAGTTGACCACTCTGTCATCTACGAGAATTTCATTCGTGTACGTTAAGAAAACCCTTCAAATTTGACGTTGATTCAAGAGTACCCCACTCAATATGAAGTGCGTTCTGGACCCATCAATATCGTGTATGCCCCCCGCGAGCTGCAGTAACTGCACGAACTCTTTTGTGCATTGAATTGACCGGGGTATTAACCGTACTCATTGGTCTCTTATTCTTTTGTACACGCGGCGTGCGCAGTTTAGTTATGCATCAGTGGTTTTACCAAAGGCACCTAACTCAAATTCACACATTTGTCAAGTTTCAAGGGTGTACATCAAGGATTTAATTTACAATATTAACTTTCTGCTAATTGCGTTTCTTTTTCCTCTCAGTACATATCTCATATGTTGACCATAAGATTAGTTTAACGAACAGCGAAACTTAGCCGAAATGAACAGTTGAATATTTACATCATGTTTATACCATAGTTCAATGACACAGTATCATGGTTCTAGGCGTCATTCACTATATCAGAACCAGACGGAGAACTGATTTGAGATTTTCGAAAGATAATGAACTACAAATAGTTTAAAAATGAATGGACTCACTAAGATTGGTAATCAATAAAGCTGATTGCTACTAAGGAATTGTCATGTACTTGGATCCTGATTGGTTCAAATTCATCTTTTGGGTGTCATTGCGTTCCAACTATCAATATATGTGTAAGTTTTTTTTAAACTTTTCAAAACTCGTAGTACATTTTTCTTTCTAGAGGAATGCTAAAAAGGATATCTTGTTGGCCTAGATATTCTAAAACTAATCAGTTTGTAAGTTCCTGGGATTTTTTTTCCAGTAAACGGTTGTCCATGACTGGGCATACAAATGTATATAGTTCATTGGCCCATGTTTGTTCATAAAGCGCTCCGTGACCATTCAGGCCATCTATTTTTAATTGATCGGAAATAAGTGTTTATTCTGAAACTACATCAACAAATATTTTCACAACATTTTTACAATATCTCAAACTTGATGCTTTGAATTGGGAAAAATCGAAAAAGCATTTAATTATTCAAATTACTTTATATAAATACAAAAGTTATCGTGATGAAAATTACGGAACCAAATACAGGCGAAAGGCTATAGTTTTAAAGCAGCTTACTGTCAGTAATATTGACAGGAAGAATCTAACGAACAATAGATCGAAACGTTTTATCACTTTTATTTAGTGACCAAAAAAATGGAGGAAATGCGACGGGACTCCCTATGTTGTTCAGTGAGTTAGACACCAGCTGCTTGAAGGACACCAAGCCTCAGACAGAACCTAGCTGTTCATGGGGCAAAAAAACACACTTAATTTTATCAAAGGAATCAATATTGTTTTTATAACACGATCATTCAAACAAACCTTTCTATTTACGCTTAGGAGAATATATATATGTCACCACATTGATTCACTTGTGAACCCAAGAATAAAAATAATTTTAGAACAAAAATATAAAACATGACCTAGAGAAGCTGCCTTAAACTTAATTTACCTTTTAAATCGCTTCGACCATGTTTTGAACACAACCAAAATAGGTCATTAGGATTTGCTAAATTGCGGTAAAGTGAAGACGTTGGGGAGAGGGTAGTTTGGTTGGACCTAAAAACATGTCACACCATTGATGATGTTTGTGATTTTAATTTCTTTGTTTAACATTTCATATCAACGTGTTGTCTTAAAGTATTTTAGAGCCATTAATGCTCATTTAGTACCAAATATACAAAAATCGTTAAGGCGGAGATCTCTGAAATGTGGCATGACGTCATATCCGTTGATATTGTCAGTGTCAACAATATTTCTGTCGGAAGACGTAACCGTCTTTATATATGTATACTATATTATCAATTTGATGATCTCGTGTCATTTGGGTTTAAGTTGAGTAGGCGAGCTGGAACAATTTTAAAACATTTCTCTAAGTCAAACTATGGTACAGACAAGAACTATTAGTATACAAAGGTCATCAGGTACTTTAGAACTCTATTAGGTACAAAGTTGTGTAGTTAGTGGTTGATTGAACAAGTAATCTTTGATAAGTACTAATATTGAGACGATGGTCGGAAACACTATATATTTGTGCATGTAATATTAGCAATAACGTGCTGTACCTAATACTCGGTCGTACCCAATATTACATGTAGGGACCACGTATACATTCCTCTTGGATAACTCTCCTATTGTTAGTATATCAAGCATTACTGGATTAGTGTTGTGGCACGTGCAAACCCTTTTTGTGCAGCTGCGACGGGCAGTCATGCGCACGATGATCACAGACACAGCTAGCGTATACTACCTGTAACTTTATAATCTGTAATGATGTGACATGTTTACTTACAGCTGATGATGTTTGTGTAAATGGAATTTGACGAATTTTGTCATTCATCACTATTAACTGTTCTATGAAAACGTCACAAAAATAAGATTACAATATTACTTGATATCTATACTGTAGTCGGAAAACGACGACATGTTTATCTCAAATATTCAGTCACTTTATCATGACACACAACTTCACAATAACTTGCATTACAAGAAAACAGGATTACATCAAAATGTTAGGTATTGAACTATCATAAATATGAATCCCGTGCGTCAATTGTAATACCTAAGTGCACATGTTTTGTTTATATTTCTTCGGTCCCATTTTAACATTTCCAAGGTGATGTGAATCTCATCTCAAAAAGTACGACAGACTGTCAGATTGATATGTGTCTTAGACTGATAGTAAATGTAAGATATGTGTCTTAGACTGATAGTAAATGTAAGATTTGATATGTGTCTTAGACTGATAGTAAATGTAAGATTTGATATGTGTCTTAGACTGATAGTAAGTGTAAGATTGATATGTGTCTTAGACTGATAGTAAGTGTAAGATTGATATGTGTCTTAGACTGATAGTAAGTGTAAAATTGATATGTGTCTTAGACTGATAGTAAGTGTAAGATTGATATGTGTCTTAGACTGATAGTAAATGTAAGATTTGATATGTGTCTTAGTCTGATAGTAAGCGTAAGATTTGATATGTGTCTTAGTCTGATAGTAAGCGTAAGATTAATATGTGTCTTAGACTGATAGTAAGCGTAAGATTGATATGTGTCTTAGATTGATAGTAAGTGCAAGATTGATATGTGTCTTAAATTGATAGTAAGTGTAAAATTGATATGTGTCTTAGACTGATAGTAAGTGTAAGATTGATATGTGTCTTAGACTGATAGTAAGTATAAGATTGATATGTGTCTTAGACTGATAGTAAGTATAAGATTGATATGTGTCTTAGACTGATAGTAAGTGTAAGATTGATATGTGTCTTAGACTGATAGTAAGTGTAAGTTGATATGTGTCTTAGACTGATAGTAAGTATAAGATATGTGTCTTAGACTTTTTGTAAGTGTAAGATTGATAGGTGTCTTAGATTATTGGCAAGTGTAATATTCTAACTTAGATAAAAAATTTAAAAAAACGTACAATAACACCAATTATCTTAGATAATCAATAATTAGCTCGTGCTCCTAAAAAAACTGTCGTTTAACATCACCTATTTATCATCTTTAATCGGTTGTATTATCATTAAACATATGTCATATTCCAACATTATATTGGTGTAAATTCGTCCACAGCCTTGAGTATTCTAAGAATGTTTAGGACTTCAAAAATTATGAAGAATTATTAACAGTTGGACTTTTCATCATGCCATATTTCAGTCTAAAACGATGCAATAGTTAATGTATTTTTCGGCAGCGAAAGCTTGCCCAGTCCCCTTAAGCATATTCCTGTAAATACATGCTTCGATGGTAGAACGATGGCACTTCTAGTCAAGGTAATGTACTAGGACCACAGTGAGATTAGTTAACCTATCAAGACACTACTACAAATGCCACGCCTACATTGATTTACAAACATTTAAATGAAACCGATCTCCGTGACATTACAAGCTTGGATTGACCAAGATTGACATGATGAGTGTTGTCGCAGACCCTTACTCTTCCTGAACTAAACGAGTTATTCGCCTTGTTCTTTTTCAGGAGTCAGTGTAAATATTTTGAAATGACTTTATTGAATTTGAGTTTGGATAATGAATACTTTGACATATTGGTGGTTTTCTTATGTTTTTCGTATGCGTAGTATTGTTTACATGTCTGACAGTTAAAAATAAAATGTAATCTTTTTATTTACATATTTTGAAAAGGAAACCATATCGAGACGCTTCATATGTAGCTACGTGAACGATCATTGGCGGGATAATTCATAACCAATATACATAGATTAACCAGTTGAATTACTTCAGTAATTTTTCATTGTGTGGAATTTAGCGACAACAAATATCCGTCAGGGGAGACAATGGCTGATTGTCATTCTCACATTCTTACAAATATAATCCTAACATATTTAATATTGTCCTGAACCATGTACATCGCGCCAGTGATAAAGGCCCGTGAAATATCTCGAAATTATGGTAGCTGATTCGGGACATCGTAATATCGCTTAGTTTAATGGGAAGTGAGATTGCGATATTACGATAGCACGATGCGATATCACGATAACACGATGCGATATCACGATAACACGATACGCTAACGTGGTCTCGCATCGCGCTATCGTGTTATCGATTCTTGCTATCGTGGTATCGCATCGTGGTATCGTGATATCGCAATATCGCTTCCCATTAAACGAAGCGATATTACGATGTCCCGAATCAGCCACCAAACGAAATTGATTACGTTTTCAAATTATAATATGGTTATGCTACTTGAAATGATGACGAAACCCTATTGTAACTAGTGTCCCCGATCCCTAACGAAAAAAAAGAAAGAAATGTAAATACTGCATATATAGTTGGCCTACGTGACAACACAAAGATTATAATAAGCGAACACCAGTTCTTTAGAGGATAATATCTAACAGGAAAGGCACACAGGTGTTGCTTTCAATAAACAGTATATGAAGAGTAGTGACCGGTTGCCTTACTTATCGTCGACACTGTCGAGGATGAAGGGCGTGCTACTTGTACATGTAAGTAATTCATCTCCGTGCTGCCAATTCTGTATAAACCGAATTTTATTTAAAATCATTCTTTAAATCAAAATGTGATTGTGTTTTCTAGCAAAAAATGACATTGGTGTTAATAAAAAGAAATGAAATGATAAATTTCATGTTGATGCCAGTTCATTGACTCCAAGAAAATTTCTGATTATTTTAAGAATAACATACCTACAGTGTATTTATTGCATGCACGCGATGTTCCGCCTCTAAAGAATCAAACTCTCCTCTATGTTCTTCAAGTTTAACCTTACTTTGGGTATTTGTGCTTTCCTCTATGTTCTTCAAGTTTAACCTTACTTTGGGTATTTGTGCTTTCCTCTATGTTCTACAAGTTTAACCTTACTTTGGGTATTTGTGCTTTCCTCTATGTTCTTCAAGTTTAACCTTACTTTGGGTATTTGTGCTTTCCTCTATGTTTTTCAAGTTTAACCTTACTTTGGGTATTTGTGCTTTCCTCTATGTTCTACAAGTTTAACCTTACTTTGGGTATTTGCCTTTCCTCCCCATTACTGTTCTTCAAGTTTAACCTTACTTTGGGTATTTGTGCTTTCCTCTATGTTCTTCAAGTTTAACCTTACTTTGGGTATTTGTGCTTTCCTCTATGTTCTTCAAGTTTAACCTTACTTTGGGTATTTGTGCTTTCCTCTATGTTCTTCAAGTTTAACCTTACTTTGGGTATTTGTGCTTTCCTCTATGTTTACTTTGATGTCCTTCTTCAAGTTTAACCTTACTTTGGGTATTTGTGCTTTCCTGTGATGTTCTTCAAGTTTAACCTTACTTTGGGTATTTGTGCTTTCCTCTGATGTTCTTCAAGTTTAACCTTACTTTGTATTTGTGTTTCCTGTGATGTCCGTCCCCAGTTTAACCTTACTTTGGGTATTTGTGCTTTCCTCTATGTTCTTCAAGTTTAACCTTACTTTGGGTATTTGTGCTTTCCTCTATGTTCTTCAAGTTTAACCTTACTTTGGGTATTTGTGCTTCTTTCTAATTTTAATCATTATAACCAGGTTTTCCTCTTTCTTAGAAAATACCAATTTGAAAAAAAATGATAAAGATAACATTGCTGTTGGTGTCTACTCCAAGAAAATTTCTGATTATAAGGGGGACGGACATCCCCTAATGACCCTTACTGTTGTTGTTTACTTTGATGTCCGTCCCCTTATGACCCTGACTGTTGTTGTCTACTGTGATGTCCGTCCCCTTATGACCCTGACTGTTGTTGTCTACTGTGATGTCCGACCCCTTATGACCCTGACTGTTGTTGTCTTCTGTGATGTCCGACCCCTTATGACCCTGACTGTTGTTGTCTTCTGTGATGTCCGACCCCTTATGACCCTGACTGTTGTTGTCTACTGTGATGTCCGACCCCTTATGACCCTGACTGTTGTTGTCTACTGTGATGTCCGACCCCTTATGACCCTGACTGGTGTTGTCTACTGTGTATCCGTCCTCATATGACCCATACTGTTGTTGTCTACTGTAACGTCCATCTCATTTTTTTTCACAAACCTGAACGCTTATTTAAACAAGATCTTCTTTTATCAAAATTGCGACTCCATCGGAAATCTTTTATGAACAATGTTACACCACCGTGAATCTTTTAGAAACACTGGAACACTGGAACTAAACCGGAAATCTTTCATAAACACTGCGACTCCACCGGGAATCTTTTATGAACAATGTTACACCACCAGGAATCTTTTATAAACACTGTGACTCCACCAGGAATCTTTTATAAACACTGTGACAACACCGTGAAGCTTTTATAAACAATGTGACCCCACCGTGAAGCTTTTATAAACACTGCGACACCACCAGGAATCTTTTATAAAAACTGCGACTCCACCGGGAATCTTTTATAAACACTGCGACTCCACCAGGAATCTTTTATAAACACTGCGGCTCCACCGGGAATCTTTTATAAACACTGCGACTCCACCGGGAATCTTTTATAAACAATGTGACACCACCAGGATTCTTTTATAAACACTGCGACTCCACCAGGAATCTTTTATAAACACTGCGGCTCCACCGGAAATCTTTTATAAACACTGCGACTCCACCGGGAATCTTTTATAAACAATGTGACACCACCAGGATTCTTTTATAAACACTGCGACTCCACCAGGAATCTTTTATAAAAACTGCGACTCCACCGGGAATCTTTTATAAACACTGCGACTCCACCAGGAATCTTTTATAAAAACTGCGACTCCACCAGGAATCTTTTATAAACACTGCGACTCCACCGGGAATCTTTTATAAACACTGCGACTCCACCAGGAATCTTTTATAAACACTGCGACTCCACCAGGAATCTTTTATAAACACTGCGACTCCACCAGGAATCTTTTATAAACACTGCGGCTCCACCGGAAATCTTTTATAAACACTGCGACTCCACCAGGAATCTGTTATAAACACTGCGACTCCACCAGGAATCTTTTATAAACACTGCGACTCCACCAGGAATCTTTTATAAACACTGCGACTCCACCAGGAATCTTTTATAAACACTGCGGCTCCACCAGGAATCTTTTATAAACACTGCGACTCCACCGGGAATCTTTTATAAACAATGTGACACCACCAGGATTCTTTTATAAGCACTGCGACACCACAAGGAATCTTTTATAAAAACTGCGACTCCACCGGGAATCTTTTATAAACACTGCGACTCCACCGGGAATCTTTTATAAACACTGCGACACCACCAGGAATCTTTTATAAAAACTGCGACTCCACCGGTAATCTTTTATAAACACTGCGACTCCAACAGGAATCTTTTATAAACACTGCGACTCCACCAGGAATCTTTTATAAACACTGCGACTCCACCAGGAATCTTTTATAAACACTGCGACTCCACCAGGAATCTTTTATAAACACTGCGACTCCACCGGTAATCTTTATAAACACTGCGACTCCAACAGGAATCTTTTATAAACACTGCGACTCCACCGGGAATCTTTTATAAACACTGCGACTCCACCGGGAATCTTTTATAAACACTGCGACTCCACCGGGAATCTTTTATAAACAATGTGACTCCAACAGGAATCTTTTATAAACACTGCGACTCCACCAGGAATCTTTTATAAACACTGTGATACCACCAGGAATCTAGCATAAACACTGCGACTCCACCAGGAATCACTCCACAGGAATGTTTTTAGCAATGAAGTCATCTGTCTGACATTTTAACCCGGGATTATTCTTCCTCATATTTTTTGCCTTGGACAGAACCTTCATTTTGTGGTTGAGAGTAAAAAAAAATTTATAAAACTCGAATGATTCAATTTTTGTTCTCTCGAGAAATTTTTTGACCTTTTCGTTTTAAATCTTATCCGCATATAAGGTCTCTTTACAGTCCTATAGTTTTTATTTCTATTTTTCTTTGCCGCCGCCGGCAATACCATGGATTATGAAGTTGAAAGTCCTTTTTTTCTTCTTCCAGTGTCTTTTATTTAGTGATACTGATCGCTTATTCTTTGATTATGATTACAAAGTGTTTGTTTGATTAAATTTTTTTCTTTCAAATTTTGTTTTCAGTTTTCCATGTCATCTGTCTTTCTGAGAGAGCTCGCATAAACTCGGAGTTATCTCCCTTTGACTGTGAGGGACTTAATATTGCACGCTCACAGCAATACGTTCCTTGTAACAGCGCTTAGTCTAGACTTTTCATTTCCTGTCTCTCTGTCCAGAATTGCATTCCACATCTCCCCACAGAACAGAAAAGAGAAAATGAAGGTCAAACATTTATGAAATTTCCCTTTCAACGTCACCAAAATGGCGGGCTTTCTGTATCAAGATCCACCAGAAGATTTCCCGTTTCGTTTCCTTCAAGCAACCTCGCTTACACACAAGATTTATGTTTTTAGTCCACCATCTGCATTGTATCAGTGATGATCTTAAAAGAATGTCAAGTACATATGTTTATTCTGATTCGTGCCGCTATTCTAATGAAAGAAAACATGGTGTACAAACCAGTCAAACCTAGGACACTGAACGTCAACCAACAGTGTTCACCAATATCTTTTTATATTTTAGGGTTAGATACAGTAGCTAAGGTTATATAACTTTTGAAACTTAAGTGGTTCCCGTTGAGGAAAATCACAGTTGATCAAAAGAAATGTCCAAATCTAGAGAGGGAGATGAACTAGATCCGTAATTCAATAATTGTTGTAATTATCGAATTGATGACTGCTTAGTTCCCGAGGTAGTTCAACCATTTTATGACTATAACACATTCGGTGATACTGTTTAATCATCAGGCAGTATAAATTATTCAATGCTTCAATATTGTGTATTATATGTGTGTTTACAACTTTATGAGTTGGACAAGACACTTGTTTAACGAGATCCTACCACGATTAAGACTGTTTCATCAGCATGTAATGTTATAGATATATAGGTAGGGTGGTAAAGAAGCTAATACCTACCAGTCCAAGGTCTGTACTACTCTACCCACACCTACTACCCCCAGGCCTGTACTACTCTACCCACACCTACTACCCCCAGGCCTGTACTAATCTGCCCACACCTACCACTCTCAAGCCAGTAATATGTCTTTTTACATATGCCTTATTGTCATAATTGTAATACCTTGTCATTGTCGAACGCTATATATTTGAATGTGCAGGGAAAATTCAATAGCTTTTTCATGTATTCAGCACACAAAATAGGTGTTATGTCTTTCAACAAATGCATTTTATCCTATTTTTAGGTAGTCCTGCTTGTGGCAGTGCCAGGTTTTCACGCTGACGTCCAAACCATTCCATATCCACCTCTGCTGGAAAAGTTATACAAATCCTTTGGCAAATCTGATGCCTCGAATAGAATAGGAGAAAGCATTGGATGTTATAGTATCTCAACGTTTGCATTTAAGAATAACCAAGTGATCAATCCATATGTACCACCTGACGCTGCTCGTGAATATGTACAACGAGTATCCCAAAATCCCGCCAAAAGAAGGCAGAAACGGGGTACATTTTTACCACCCGGACAATATCGGTAAGATATCGTTGTTCTAACAACGGAGCCTAGCTGCATCCTTGTAAATGCTTTGTGATTTACATCACATTCTAGATGCAAAAATGTCCGTCCAGTGTACCAGTGAATTAAGGCTTCATTGGTTAAATACGTCAAATAGATGTCTGTTACACACACACATTAGTTCTACAACATTTGCGAAACAAGTTTTGTCAACTGACAATAATCACTCTTGTCATGCTTTTGTGCATGAAAATTTCCATTACAAAAATTCGTTTTTTTTTTATTTTTTGATTTTTAAATTTTTTGATTTTTATATTTTTTAATTTTTCTATTTTTCACCCTTTTTATAATCGTTGCCATAGAACCTTAACTATTTGAATGTGATGGGTTCCGACCGATTCATGTCTATTTAATAAGATATATCTTTCAATTTTTTTTATCTAAAGCGGTTTTTTTGAAATATTATTTTCATGCTATTGGCCTTAACTATAAACATAAATGTCTTTTTTTATTCTTTGCGCCTTATATGCCATCTTTAACTGATGACGTTTGTGTTCAAAATCCGCTAAAAACAAAGAAATTTTATCATGTTTTCTCCAAATATTGGCTTTTCCGAACGAAGAACACCGCAACTTTTTTATTTAATGGACCAGTCACTAGCATTAGCCTGGTGGTGAAACCTTAAAATATATCAAGTTCTCTCTTTCTCGAAAAGAAAATCACAAGCATACAAGTAACAACTTATTGCAAATAAAGTTACAAATAGACAACTGCAAGTTCGACCTGGTTGTATTTATTTCAAAATATAACATGCTTTGCTTGCAGGTTACGTAAAGAATACCGAATGATGAGCACAACAGAAAGAAATGTTTTCCAAACTTGTTTGCAGGAACTGAAAGAAAGATACGTAAGTTTTATTATCAATTAAATATGACCGATAACTTTTTAACTTGGGTTTTACATTCTTGTAACAGTTATCTGTATATGAAGAAGGTGAAGAAGGATGATGGAGACAGACAATGCGATCACATCTTTACCAGGATACAACAGAATAGCATCATATTCGGTCACGTTGACAATGGACTAACCAATCATCATGCAGGGCCATAGCTTGGGAATAACACCAATTCATGCAGCCTTTTCCAGCATCAAACAATTCCAATGCTGTCCATTCAGAGCTACTTACAACAGACTTAAGTCCTTACCATTTTTCTTCACACTTGCTCCCTTTTTGCCTTTAAGTGGGACGACCGCTTTGACGAAAATGTTTTTCGCCAAGCCGAGACATTCCAAGGTCAATAAGATGATTGAGTTGGGTTGCATTCTACTGTATCAATTTCAGGTTGTAATTTAGTTTGAAGGCACTACAAAAACTGGTACCTAAACCCTGAAACAAGAAAATGGTATATTTGGACCTTTGTATTTCAATAAAATGTGTATTCATCTGCAACAATTTGAGTATAATTTGTCTCAGCACTTGCTTCACCTGTGTGTTTTTAACCAAAGGTTAATCATATGCAAATCAGAAAATTGTTTGACAAGCGTCTGTGCCACCACGATTCTCAGTATTATTAGTTTGATATATGGGCAAGAATTCGCTAATGTAACCCTAAGTGTGACATTGCAAGAAAAAAATTAAAATATTCATAAGCCTACATATTTTGTTAGAAATATAACTGTAAATGGTGTCTTTCTATGTGTAACAAAAAATCATTTTGAAACTTACTTCAGATTAGAACAAAGAGAATTAATGAATTTAGAGCATGTAACATTGACACTATCCCCAAACTGAAATTGATGGTTCTTTGACCTGTTTAAAGTTTAGTATTAGGTTTGTTTATCTCAAAACATTGTCCATCATCTTGACTTAAACAATTGCATTTTTTAAATTTTCATGTATTTCAGAAATTCTATGAAAACAGGTTTCCTCTTATTGTTCTGTCAATGTTACATGCAATTATTAAGAGATAAATATAATCAAAATTATGTTCTTGGTAAACAAGAAAAGTCATTTTTTCATTGTGTTAGTGTAGTATAAAGAAAATTCTGTCAATATTTTTGCAACCTTCTCATTTCAGTAATAAAGTAGTTACACATATGTTCCAAAGAGAGGGGGTATTTAAGGGTAGTTTGGACACGAAAATTAATTATATTATATTACCTGATATATTGTTTGAACTCCAGTTGATTGATGAAAATTACGACAATCATATCGTACCTTGTGTTGATACTTCGTAAATTTGCAAATGCCGTGTCGATGATGCGTTTCCAAACAAATTTACTGAGGGAAACGTGCACGTAACGTTTGTTGACGCGAAAAGTTACGTACATTGGTCTATTTTCAATCCTATTTTTTTCAGCATTAATCAAATCCTGTACAAAACAAGCGTTTTTTTCGATAGACCGATCATTTTGCAGTTGATTAACAACTTTTACAGCACCACAATTCTTCAGTCATTTAATAAATACCACTCGGAGTTTCACTACTGCAGAAATGTCACACTTTTTGCCTGTAATTTATCCACATGCGGCGTACAACTTGTGCTGCTTCCTTGTTATTTAATCAATTAGATCAATTTGTTTTTTTCATATGACGATAAAAATAAACCAATTTTAATATTTAAACAATGTTTATTCTCCATACTTGCATGATTTTGTTTGTTTTTTATTGGATAAACTACTCTGACACTAAAATTTCATTAACGAATTCTTGACCATGTACAGATTGGGGATATGTCCATCTATGACACGATTGCTGCTATACACAAAGAGGACATCGACGTTCACAATGGAGTGAACTTCCTTCCATGGCACAGGGTCTATCTTTGGACGTAAGTACTTAGGTAACTGTTTCTATCATCGGGAGATGTCTTTCCACAGAGTTATTCCAATCCAATTAAAATCTATTCAGTTGAGTCACTGTAATATTGAATCGTGTTTCCCTGATCCGTATTAGGATACAATAATGTTGGTTACTGCCCTTTTTCATTTTAAAACTTTTTGTTGTCCTCAATTTGTTCGATTTCTTTGACATATTTTTTTGTTTCTTAGCTGAAACATTTCTTCATTCAGATTTTTTTACCGATCTCTCGAATCTTATTGCATGTTTATTTTTTTTTAATAGTTATTGCCCTTTGTTGTCTCTTTTCAATTAAGCGTCCGGGAGTGAAAAATCCTATTATAATCTTACCTTCAGAACATGATTTCCTTGTTAGTGACACGGTCTTTGATTGGCCCTCACCTTACCGTGTATATCATGGTTTGTTAGTAACACTGTCTTTGGTTGGCCCTCACCTTACCGTGTATATCATGGTTTGTTAGTGACACGGTCTTTGATTGGCCCTTACCTTACCATGTATATCATGGTTTGTTAGTGACACTGTCTTTGATTGGCCCTCACCTTACCGTGTATATCATGGTTTGTTAGTGACACGGTCTTTGATTGGCCCTCACCTTACCGTGTATATCATGGTTTGTTAGTAACACTGTCTTTGATTGGCCCTCACCTTACCGTGTATATCATGGTTTGTTAGTGACACTGTCTTTGATTGGCCCTCACCTTACCGTGTATATCATGGTTTGTTAGTGACACTGTCTTTGATTGGCCCTCACCTTACCGTGTATATCATGGTTTGTTAGTGACACGGTCTTTGATTGGCCCTCACCTTAACGTGTATATCATGGTTTGTTAGTGACACGGTCTTTGATTGGCCATCACCTTACCGTGTATATCATGGTTTGTTAATGACACGGTCTTTGATTGGCCCTCACCTTACCGTGTATATCCTGATTTGTTAATGACACGGTCTTTGATTGGCCCTCACCTTACCGTGTATATCCTGGTTTGTTAATGACACGGTCTTTGATTGACCCTCACCTTAACGTGTATATCATGGTTTGCTAATGACACGGTCTTTGATTGGCCCTCACCTTACCGTGTATATCATGGTTTGTTAGTGATACGGTCTTTGATTGGCCCTCACCTTACCGTGTATATCATGGTTTGTTAGTGACACGGTCTTTGATTGGCCCTCACCTTACCGTGTATATCATGGTTTGTTAGTGATACGGTCTTTGATTGGCCCTGTAATCACCTTATCGTGTATGTCTTGGTTTGTTAGTTAAACGGTCTTTTTATTATCCGTGTTAAAATGTTGTCATAATTAACTTTATTATTTTTATATTGAATGCCAATTTGGATCAGCTGTATCAACCTGATTTCATGATTAATATATGTTATGTTGATTTCACTTAACAAGAAAGCTACCTACGTTTTTATTTTTCACTTTTCACTCTTGAAACCGGTGACTACTTTGACTTGATCGGAACATCATGCCACTAATTGCAAAAACACTTATCCTGTTAGTTTTCACGTCATTAGTTTGTTTACACCTATATTTTTCATCAAATTCCACTTTCATGAATCGATTTATGATTCCAAAACCAGATAACTCCATGTGATCGCTGTGATCAAGCCACCTACAAACTTGTGTAGTGTTGTTTTTACAGAACAATACAACTCGTTATAAATTAAATAACACCTTCGAACGTTGTTTATAAATAAAATCCTATTTTAAAGATAATTGTTGGATGTCTTGAGTGATGCGGGTAAGTAAGCCAGATACAAATTAAACATTAACTGATTGGAACTCGCAGTCCGTCCCACAACAAAGACACGTTTGTCATTTCATTTTTACCAGGGTCATTACGTTTCAGTGCGACTGGACTATGCACTTGTCTTCAGTGTCATTATTAGAAAGTACCATGTACACAATGTTATGATAACTACACAACTCTATGGCTTACCTGATAACCAATTAAATTAATTTTCTTTTCAGTTCCAGACTAGATTATGCACAGCTAATTTAACACTGTTACTTTTTTTCTGTGAATTTTTCAGATTAGAAAACGCCCTGAGAGATTTAGGCGGTAATTGTAGCCAGGTAACTTTGCCGTATTGGGACTGTACTGCAGAATACTATGCAAATACACTTGTCCCTAATTCCGCAGCACAGTCAATTATTTTCTCAGAAAGATTTGCAGGATTGGGCAATGGAGCTGTAACAGATGGTCCTTTTCGAAATTGGAATCTTTCGAGACAGGTGTCTGAAAGTTGGGAGTTGTTCGGCCGAGACACTATCGAATGGTTAAAGACGATAGGGACAAATGATTTGATAACCTCTCCTGGTACATATTACTCAATAGAGTTTTATCACAATATGATACATAGGTTTGTCGGGGGTTATTTGAGTTCAATCACCAATGCCCCGCGAGATCCTTTATTTTTTATGTTACATTGCTTTGTTGATGCTATTTGGGAGGAAATAAGACAAGCAATGATATTACGAGGTCTTGACCCGACCGTGTATCCAAACGTTACTAATGAAGGCCACAAAGGCCCACAACCAATGGACGTGTTTACTGGATGGACAAATGAGGAGGGATTTTCGAATCTATGGTATGAAAGACACGTGCGATACCAGCCATCTTTTAGCTGTCGGCCAGAAGGCGGTGATACTTGTAAGAACACTGAAGGTGTGGAATGCATATGGAATGAATATTCAATGCAACAAGAATGCACGGCGTTTCGTGAATCAGCGACTGAAAGTTCAGAACCACAAACCGTAACCACTACCCCACATCCTCCAACTACGACCCTCCCGTGGTGGTTTTGGTTTTGGAAGAAAAGGAAAAGGCGTGCAGCAACTAGTCACAATATCAACGATTATGGGTCTTCACATACTACTATAGCCGAGAAAGATAAGGTCCATGTATGTGATAGTCACACCTGTCCGTCAGCGCCAACGTCTATGCAAAATACATATACAATTAATGGCGTCACTGACTCCGCTTTGTGGGTTTACCTTCCTGTAAAAGTAATATTTATAAGACCACCAGGGCTAAAATTTCACACGTTCCCTTGCTATAGTGATGGGAAAGTCGCGGCCTTCAATTTTACGCAGGACATATTTGATCCTGCTTTTAATGTGGATTTAAAACGGCATTTGCATACTGGTAAAGGTCGTCCATACGATTACTGCCGGATCAATGACGCAGGTTCTGCCAAAATCTATATCAGATCTGATGGCATAAACTACGATGGTAACTCAATGGAATATGCTAGTCTAGACGAACGATATCCGATCAGTTCTCAGAAAGCATTCATCGCGATTAAGGATCCAACTTTCAATGTTACCGAGGTGTGTCTGATGGCTTACGATTCGTGTGGCAGGCTTTGTCTACCCACATGTCGCCGAAAAGGATCAGCTGTATACCAACCCTGTACCGGATGTATTCGAGTCAACAACAAACATCCTAAAATGTATGGTCGAACGGTTGCCGATATAGTGGCTGACCAATGGACGTTCAACAGCATCGATGACTACGAATTCCTTGACCCGACTGAGTCGGCTGAAAATATTTACCTTAAGTTTGTCTGTGACGCCTCCTCGAAATTTCCATGGCAACGACAGAAACCTGGTGTCTACTAACAGTCAGACTTTCTTCATCAGATCAATTCTAACACTTTTGTTGTGTCTTAACAGATCAATAAAGCATTAGTTTTAGTTATGTTTTAATCAGATTTATTAAAGCTACGATGTGTGATCACTCAACATTACGAGATGTGCGATCTGTCTACCATGATACATATAGATGTAGAAATTACATCCTTTTAACTAAACATATAAGAGTACGGCAAACAGTATTTGCTACTTAAGTCAGATATATCTAGGCCAAACACACGTAATGCTATCAGATACAGAATGAATAGTCCACAATTTTATCTATATTGGTTCTGTCTCTTTCAGCCCAGTTAGATCAACAAGAAAATATCGGCATGTGAACATCATTGTAATCCAAACCCATTAAATAAAACTAGGGCAACATATGAATCAGAAAATTTACACAAAGACTCCTGAAAAAGTCTGCTTCTGCACCCGCCCTGTAAATCTTGTTGAATTAAAAGTAATGTCGCGTTCTCATGACAACGATGTATACAGTAACGAAACCTACAGGCAAATTAACGAGCAATAAACTCTTCTATCTTCATATCGCACAAAGAAAATTGTCGAGATATGCGCCTGATGTACGAGAGTCTGCTGTGTCCTTGATTTCCAATTTAAATGGGCATATACGATGGACTCGGTTAATGTCTTGTTATTTAAAGACAAGATGTCATCAACATATCTGAAACGAAATTGAAGGAACAAACAAGTTCTTTGTTACCTAACTGAATAAGCTGTTCGTTATATTTATTATTGTCAGCCTCGTATGAAAACAAAAACAAGGTCAGCCAAAGGAGCGGCACAGTTAGTTCTCATTGGTATGTCCATAATGTGTTTAAGACTTGAATAAAGTGTTGTCATCCTGAAACTCGATCCGTTTTATGATTTCGTACCTATTTTAAGACAATGCATCCGTATGTTCGTCCTGCCGTTCTCCGTTCGTGGAAAAGACAAGAGAACGAAGGCTTTCCATCAGTACAAAATGAGGTATGCTTGTTTACAGACGGGAAAAAAACAAATATTCCTTTAAAAGATATATTTTAGAAGAGGGTGTTGAATATTGGTCAAAAGCTCTGTGGAGTTTCTCAAAATCCACATACTAGTAATTCTATTTCTTGAATAATCACCATCACAGTAAGAGTGTGACCCAGATTTGATAGTACTAAAAATTGTAGATAAAGTTTGGACAAATGTTTGGTTGAACAGCTAAAGAAGCCAGCAATAAAACATTGTTGATAGGAATTTTTGAGTAGTTCAGGAATCTGGTATATACGGGAAGGTCCGTGCCTTCATCATAAAATAGGCAAACTGACTGCCGTAGATAGGATGACATATTGTATAGGTGGGGATTCCTTCGTTATCAAGCAAACTTAGTTCTCATACAAATTTTTTGATTATGTCTCTTCAGATCAATAGTAACACTTCTAAGTTGTAGCTTTGTTCGATTAATTGAAACATCTATCATGTTTGTGTTTATCATATTACTTTTATTATATCTTATATAATTTAATTTTTGTTGTTTATGTTAAATCAGATTAATCTTGTTTATGTCTTAAAACACTTTCCTCGGTTTATATCTTATCAGATCAATTAAAACACCTTCCTTTTTATGTCTTATCAGATCAATTAAAACACTTTCCTTGTTTATGTCTTATCAGATCAATTAAAACACCTTCCTTTTTATGTCTTATCAGATCAATTAAAACACTTTCCTTGTTTATGTCTTATCAGATCAATTAAAACACCCTCCTTGTTTATGTCTTATCAGATCAATTAAAACACTTTCCTTGTTTATGTCTTATCAGATCAATTAAAACACTTTCCTTGTTTATGTCTTATCAGATCAATAAAAACACTTTCCTTGTTTATGTCTTATCAGATCTTATCAGATCAATTAAAACACTTTCCTTGTTTATGTCTTATCGGATCAATTAAAACACTTTCCTTGTTTATGTCTTATCAGATCAATTAAAACACTTTCCTTGTTTATGTCTTATCGGATCAATTAAAACACTTTCCTTGTTTATGTCTTATCAGATCAATTAAAACACCTTCCTTTTTATGTCTTATCAGATCAATTAAAACACTTTTGTTGAAAGGTTTGGTTAGATATGTCACTTATTTGAAAAAAAAACCATATACAGTGTTGCAGTTACATATTGCGATACCGAACACCATAATTTACATCACTATTGTATTGACTTATGGTCTATTGAACTTTTTGTGATTGTTTTACTCTATAGTCAGTAGATGTTCAGCCCTTTCACCTGATTTTATTATTTAGTGGATGGGTAGCATTCAATTAATGCGATTATCCAGAAGTTGGTATCGCCGTCGCTTTGGTACCAGAAATTTTCCGACAGCAAGGTGACCTCGGGATGTACGCAAGGTGATTCTCTTCTGTATCGTGGCGGCGTGACAACCTTTTAAATTGTTAATAACTCTTGTTCCATCGATGTTAAACTGGCCTCAAATAAGTCTGTAGTTTTCTGTCCATAAAGTGGTGATGTCACTGAATGCCTTGGTGTCTACGGGTAGTTTACCTTCTATCAATTGAATGGTGATGTAGTAAATGAATGCGATGATGTCTACGGGTAGTTCCACGAGATCGCGGTCATCCAATGCATTGAACCAGTAGTCTACATGATGCAGGGCAAGGAGAAGGAGAACAGTAACACAGCGTACCAGTCTTTGGACGTGTATTACTGTAGTTCCTAGCGTTGTTGCTCCTCCGTTACGGATTTCAGCTTCTCTAGGAGTCTAGTGTAGATGGATTCAGACTTGACTGGCAGGTGTGCAAATACAAGCGGGTACATTTGGTGGCCTTTCATGGCGTAGATGGTGTTAACTGCTTGAAAAGCTTGAGTCAGGTGTAAAACATTCCGTCACAGTAGACTGTGTCAGTTATTGTCAAGGCTTTCAGATTACTAACATTGGCAAAGGTTAAAACGCATAAGTTGTCTGTGTTGTCATCAAACAGGAAAAACTGGTCGCAGCTGTTGATTTTTGTCGGTTCATCCTCCAAGATGATATCTACTGAAGATTTGAGGATTTCAGAATATTTCGCAATAGTCTGCTTCTGCAGTTGTTGAGGGATGTCTTGCAGGATATGTAGGTTGTCTCTCAGTAATCCAATTCCATGTCTTCAGTTTGGCGACTTTTTCAACGTAGATGACGGGTATGGGTTTGAATTCCGCCATACAGCTCTTCTTTATGTTGTTCATGAACTTCTGAACTCCTTGGAAAAGGTCGGGTTTATAATTGTGTTGGCGACCAAATTTTACAGTAACGTCATTCGTAGTGTTGCAGGGCATATACAGCCTGGAGCAGAGTCCTACCACCAAGTACAAATATACAGCTTGGAGCAGAGTCCTACCACCAAGTACAGATATACAGCCTGGAGCAGAGTCCTACCACCAAGTAGCGGTATACAGCCGGGAGCAGTCCTACCACCAAGTACTGATATACAGCCTTGAGCAGAGTCCTACCACCAAGTAGCGGTATACAGCCGGGAGCAGTCCTACCACCAAGTACAGATATACAGCCTGGAGCAGAGTCCTACCACCAAGTAGCGTTATACAGCCGGGAGCAGTCCTGCAACCAAGTACTGATATACAGTCTGGAGCAGAATCCTACCACAACGTACTGATATACAGTCTAAAGCAGAACCCTACCACAATGTCTGTTTGCAGTAAACTGGTTTTATATTTGGTAGATAGCAATCAATGTTCAATGATTATTCTGGATACTGTAATATAAATGAAAATTTAGGTGGGGTATTCAGCATATGGCTTATGTGTTCACTACGGAAGCGTATTCCGGCCACTTTGTGTTTTATTTCATCTCGAAATTTCGGGTTAATATCCCGAAATTTCAACTTACTAACTCAAAATTTCGGATTACTAACTCGAGTTGTTATCTTTCAATTTCTAGTTACTAACCCAAAATTTCGAGGTACTGTCTCGAAATTTCGAGATAAAATAAAACACAACGTGGCCGGAATAAGCTTCCGTAGTTCACCTTACAAACTTGGTGATTTCACTCCTATAGAAATTACAATCACCTACTGTTGCTAAGTAGTGATAACATTTCACCTCTAATGTAAATACTATCAACAAAGCTATCTAGTGATTACATTGTGAAAAAGAAGTCAATTTTCAATTTCATTTAATTCCGTATGCAATAGCATATTAAATTGACAATATACACACAAATAATAACATTTACATTTACACAAGTCATTGAAATATATCTCTTTATACATATTTTCACTTAATTATCTAAAGTAATTTGCAAAATTGTCAAAAATCAATAATTGTCCCATATGTCTAACTAAAGATATATTAACATGATATAGAAACTTATGTTAGGAAAGATTATAACCAAATTAACTTAAACTTAAATTCATATCTTATTTTCATAATAAGTTGTTGATTTTAAAACAAAACATTTTGTAGACATTAAATAGATAACAGCACACTGGCTAAATTAATTAAACAAGTTTGTTGGACAACTAGGTGATCGTTTTTTCAGTTTTCGGACAAACAGGACTTCACCTCTTGTTTATGGTGAAACTATTCACTTTCCATCCTCGTCTTTCAGTCATAGATGCTATCTCAATCAACAAATATCGAAGTTTCATCCAATTATTTTTTTATGTTGATGTGTATTTGAGAATACACGCTACCGGAATGATATCGATGCTTAGACTTTTTACAAGGAATCTATGTATAATGAAATTGAACCTACGTATAGTTGAACTGAATCTTAGTATAATTCAATTGTATCTAGATTTAACTCGACTACTGTTTCAATAATTTGAAGACAGGTGAAATATTATATGTTATAACGACGATCCATAGCGTAGCGAGGATAAAACACCTGTCAAGATTTTTCATGTATTGATATATATCTTTAATCAGGCCTTTTTGTTAAGTATATTTACACTTCCGGTTTTCTTCCCTTTAAAGGATTGATTATAAAATTATCAAGTTTTCTTTGGATAAAGATGCCTTTTAGTGCAGTATGTTTCAGCTTACGTCAATTGTTTTTGTAGACCCTTTGGAGATATGGAAAAAGTCGACGAAAAAAAGAAAGTTTTTTGAATTTGGATTGCGAGTGTTTAGATATGTACAAACTTAAACTGATACTACATTGTATTGTAGAATCATCTGAAGTGCATACAACTGGCGTGGTGGTTTTAAAATGGTAACTTAAATGTGGTCTGTTTGTTACTTGAACTAGTGAAGGAAGGAGGACTTCGTGCAAATGGTTCACACTGTATTCACTTCACACAATGTTCACGTCTCATCACCAGTCCACGTGAGCAACGAAATAAATAAGCAATTTTTTTAATGTATAAAATTTCATATTTTTTTTAATTTCCTAAATTGATCCGAAATCGTTAGTTACGGTTTGAATGGAAATGGAGCCAATTCACTATTCAGGAATATGACATTTAGATATTGATATAAACAGATGGTTCATCAGTCTACCTAGAAGTAGTCCCAATTTGTCAGGCACGCAACTAGTGGTTCAAGTTCCATCTTATCAGCTAACAACACGACAACCCCGTATCGTTTTACTAGGCAGCTTTATTTATCGATAACATTTTTCATTAAATACTTGATCATTGTGACTGAACATGCCTAGGCTACCAAGTATTTGACATCAGGTTAGTGGAAACCTTACATCGGAATACCAGATATTTCCCGTGATATTGAAGCACCGCCTATTTCATCAGGTAACTATTATTTTGGTCAACATTTATCTCATAAATGTCTGTTTGGTCGTGTTTTATTTTACGTTGAAACTGCTCTTTATTTCGTTGAATTCCGTTTTATTTAATAATATTTAAAAAACACTTGCCAAAAAGATTGTATATCCCAAATATACTAATTTCTGGATATTTTTTTAATATCAAATAAGAACATGTTTAAATTTAAGAGATGATTAAACGTTTTAAGTCATGTGACTGTACTTCATGAAGTCGTTTGTCGTGCAAAAATGTGAAAAATAAAGGTAAATTTTCAATGCAGAGTCCCGGATATAGCATATCAGATATTTTGATTAAAAGAACATTATAAGGCACAGTATGTATAATCTGTATAGAACAGGTAAATTGCGTGATATGGTAATATTACAGTCTAATGTTAATAGAGACAATATTGTTAATTTATAATCGAAATCATAACAAACTCACAAAATAAGTAAATAAAGGAAAAATAGCTTAAAATAAGTTACCTATAATTAGCGTTAACTCAGACGTCCGCAAAACTTTGTAAGAAATGGTAACTGTAATACAGCATTTGTTTGCACATTTAGCTGTAACAAGAACACTGAAAATTTATAGTTATTATTATTATTATTAGATTCTTAACGGCCCATCAACACATAAAAGGTCATTAGGGCCATCAAACGGTAAAACACACAGCGATCCAAAAGGAAATAACATTAAAACAAACCAAAAGGTAAAAGACAAATGTTAAAAATCTTAAATGGGTATAATAACACAAAAGATAAAAATGGTACGTCATAGTCTATTATAAAGACCAACATCTTTCAGGTAATGTAGAATTTTACAAACATCAACTGTTTTAAACAGGGATTTTAAACATGTAATGTTACGATAAAAATGTTTTCGAGTAGACAGAAGGTCACAGCTGTCCAATAAAAATGTTTAACGGTGAATGGCTCATCACATCCTATGCACCAAGGATTATCTTCGCCTTTCAACATATATAAATGTGTAAGGTATTTATGACCCATCCGAAGACGGGCAAGGACAACTTCGTCTTGATGGTTGCCTCTATAGCCTGGAAACCATTCACTGATAACAGGTTTAACGGAGTGCATTTTGTTATTGGTATAGGTATTCCAATCCTCCTGCCACTGAGCTCTTACATTTGTTTAATAAATGGTTTAAAATCGGTCAAATGAAGTTTAAAAATCTATTGTATTACATAAATGCATAACAAAGCGAAACTTAATGCTGGATACAATCACAAGACATGAAATTAAAATTATTGTGAGCAAATGCTAGTATTAATTGAGACAGAGGAATTTTTACTCTCGGGTTAATGGAAGACGTTGATTGAACTGATAATACTAAATACACAAACTGACTTGTAAACAAATATCACCATAAGTTAATGTTTGTTTTTGTGAAATAATGCCAGGTATATGTACCTTATTATAATCAGTACACAATATTTTAATGTGTTACTGTTCGGAAAATATATCACCTTTACAAATCAGCACGTTAGGTTTCTCGGGGAAAAGAAGAAATGAAGCAAACTATGAAAACTACAGGTTAGATTAACATGTACCTTAACAGCAGAATATTAATTCAGAATTGGAATTATGAGCAAATAATACAATATTTATACACCCAATGTAAATAAAAGGAATGATAAATATAAACAAAGAGAGCACTAGAAAACGAAGTGTATATATATATTTTTTCTTTATATATATATTTATATATATAGAAGATCAAAACATTAACATGGCAAATGAAATCGCCTGAAAATGGCCACTAGGCCGGAAAACGTTAGCGATTTTATACGATTTAATTTGTTTTGCTAATGTTTTGATTTTCTATATATACAATACACAAAGTTTTTATCTTTTTTGAATTATAAATATATATATATATATTAAGACATTTAAATATATCTAATGATAAATCTTCCATATTTGAAATAAAGCGAACATACCAGGATCAGGTTTTATAAAAACTGTACAACAAAACTGTTTTTAAGAATACGTCAGAATAACAATTCATGAGAAGAAACAGATAAATGAGTCAATAACAGAAATTGGAAAACAAAAATATGAAAATGAAATGATAGACGATATTTTAATCCGGATGACATATAATTCGTCGTCAGATATCGATTCATGGATTTCAATAATTAATTAATCAAAGTCAGGAAATATATTGAGGTATTTTTAAAGAATACGACAGGAATCGTTATTCTGTTGTATTACGTTGTCTTTGCTACATAGATATAAGCAATTGCTGTTTGACATCATTGATATGTAAGTCTTTGAAATGTTTAAATAACCTAGCCTTTATCTTTCAGAAAGACGACTGGGAAACTGTTAACCATATCAACATCAAACCGTCCATTTTCATACGGTGTGATTCAAATTGCTATAAATGTCTTTGTTCTGGTAGAAACATGATGTTCCAGAAAATTACTCGACGTTTCCTGTTTTTCACATTCATAGCTGCTTTTGTTATTTTATTTCTGCAATTTCTTAATCTACATTCACCGGTCAATATAAAACATATATACGGATATACCAAATATTCCAACCAAGAATTTCTCCTGTCCAGGGAGAGTTATGAAACAACAGCCAGTCGGAGGTCATCTGTTGATCACACTAATCAGTTCCATACGGAAAAATTTCATTTCGAATTCCCTGCTCTAACAAGTGTCGTACCAATTAATTGTCCATTGCTTTTTGCTGGTAATTCATCGGAACAAAAACGTGCAGTGATGTACACCAAGGAATCTATACGACAGACGATGGAATTTTACCATACACGAGTGCAAAACTGTTCAACTTTGAAACATGGCTATATCACAAGCTATCTGACACAGGAAGAAAAATCTTTCCCCATTGCATACAGTATATTGGTTTACAAGAATTTAGTCCAGGTCGAAAGACTTTTAAGAGCTATATACAGGCCTCAAAACTTTTATTGCATACATATCGATTTGAAAGCTGATCAGGATTTTAAGAAGACAATGTCACAAATTGCTGCCTGCTTTGACAATGTGTTTATAACCAGTAGATCGGTAGATGTACGCTGGGGCACATTCACAGTACTGGAACCAGAACTTATTTGTATGAAAGAACTATGGACTTACAAAACATGGAAATACTTTATTAATCTGACAGGACAAGAATTTCCCCTGAGAACAAACGCAGAAATTGTCAAGATCTTGAAAATATATAACGGCACAAATGACGTCGGTGGCACAGTGAAGAGGTAACACTTTCATATGGGTTTTTCTATGATATAAAAGTCATATGTTTCAGTATTACTAAATAATTGATAAAACTACACCAAAGTCCTTCTGGGACCAAAGTTTTGACTACTGTAGGTCTATTACGTAGAAAACTTCATTGCATTTATTAGAAACACGCAAAGGCTTAACATCTCATTGTCCAGTTCATAGAACAATCTATCGGGGTAATAGCGATCACGACAAGTCCCTGTAACTTTTCTATTTGGGTAGTAATACACAGACTAATATATTCCTTAATGATGAAAAGTATGTTACTGTCTGAACGTACAAGATACTGTTATCAACACATATTCGATCTTATACGTACTTGGTCTGTAGAGAAAATTGTAAAATCAAATGTCCGTGTGGGATTTATTATCGTTAATTTCGTTGATAACGATGACCACGAATCCATTTCAAACTGTCAAAGTTAGTACATGCAGTTTTGTTGACAAACATTTATTAACGAAATGAAGTGTTCAAGAAATAATTATTTTTTTGAAAAATAACGAAATTTGAGCCCGACGACAATATTTTATTTAAGGGCAATGCTTTACGCATTAATCAGCAAAAAAATTTAATACTGAAAAGAAAAAGTGACAACAATTTCCCGTAAAGGTTCATGAATCTGGTGTGTAAGGTACATTAGTTAAACATCTAATGTAAATAGTTACAGGTCAACTGAAATAGCCAAATATTCGTCAGCGATAATGATGCTTACAAACAACTATCTTTCCATGGAGAGCGAATAGTTTGCGAACGATATAGAAATATGCAACCGTACTTATCTTATGATATTTCACTGTCATGCTACTATGTAAGGACATGAAACGATCACGTTATCGATATAAATCAATTCATAACCATCATTTGTACTCACAATAGAAAATATATCATAACCATCCAGGGGTACTCACAATAGAAAATCTATCATAACCATCCAAGGGTACTCACAATAGAAAATCTATCATAAACATCCAGGGGTACTCACAATAGAAAATCTATCATAACCATCCAGGGGTACTCACAATAGAAAATCTATCATAAACATCCAAGGGTACTCACAATAGAAAATCTATCATAACCATCCTTTGTACTCACAGTAAATAAGTCTATCATAACCATCAAAGGGTACTCACAATAGAAAATCTATCATAACCACCAAAGTGTACTCACAATATAAAATATATCATAACCACCCAGGGGTACTCACAATAGAAAATATATCATAACCATCCAATGGTACTCACAATAGAAAATCTATCATAACCACCCAGGGGTACTCACAATAGAAAATCTATCATAACCACCAAAGGGTACTCACAATAGAAAATCTATCATAACCACCCATGGGTACTCACAATAGAAAATATATCATAACCATCCAGGGGTACTCACAATAGAAAATCTATCATAACCATCCTTTGTACTCACAGTAAATAAGTCTATCATAACCACCCAGGGGTACTCACAATAGAAAATCTATCAAAACCATCCAGGGGTACTCACAATAGCAAATATATCATAACCATCCAGGGGTACTCACAATAGAAAATCTATCACAATTACCCAGGGGTACTCACAATAGAAAATCTATCATAACCACCCAGGGGTACTCACAATAGAAAATCTATCACAATTACCCAGGGGTACTCACAATAGAAAATCTATCATAACCACCCAGGGGTACTCACAATAGAAAATCTATCACAATTACCCAGGGGTACTCACAATAGAAAATATATCAAAACCACCCAAGGGTACTCACAATAGAAAATCTATCATAACCACCCAGGGGTACTCACAATAGAAAATCTATCATAATCACCCAGGGGTACTCACAATAGAAAATCTATCATAACCATCCAGGGGTACTCACAACATAAAATATATCATAACCATCCAAGGGTACTCACAATAGAAAATCTATCATAACCATCCTTTGTACTCACAATAGAAAATCTATCATAACCATCTAAGGGTACTCACAATATAAAATATATCATAACCATCCAGGGGTACTCACAATAGAAAATCTATCATAACCACCCAGGGGTACTCACAATATAAAATCTATCATAACCATCCTTTGTACTCACAATAGAAAATCTATCATAACCATCTAAGGGTACTCACAATATAAAATATATCATAACCATCCAAGGGTACTCACAATAGAAAATCTATCATAACCACCAAAGGGTACTCACAATATAAAATATATCATAACCATCCAAGGGTACTCACAATAGAAAATCTATCATAACCATCCAGGGGTACTCACAATAGAAAATCTATCATAACCACCCAGGGGTACTCACAATAGAAAATCTATCATAACCACCCAGGGGTACTCACAATAGAAAATCTATCATAACCATCCAGGGGTACTCACAATAGAAAATCTATCATAACCATCCAGGGGTACTCACAATAGAAAATCTATCATAACCATCCAGGGGTACTCACAATAGAAAATCTATCATAACCACCCAGGGGTGCTCACAATAGAAAATCTATCATAACCATCCAAGGGTACTCACAATAGAAAATCTATCATAACCATCCAGGGGTACTCACAATAGAAAATCTATCATAACCATCCAAGGGTACTCACAATAGAAAATCTATCATAACCATCCAAGGGTACTCACAATAGAAAATCTATCATAACCATCCAGGGGTACTCACAATAGAAAATCTATCATAACCATCCAAGGGTACTCACAATAGAAAATCTATCATAACCATCCAAGGGTACTCACAATAGAAAATCTATCATAACCATCCAAGGGTACTCACAATAGAAAATCTATCATAACCATCCAAGGGTACTCACAATATAAAATATATCATAACCATCCAGGGGTACTCACAATATAAAATCTATCATAACCATCCTTTGTACTCACAATAGAAAATCTATCATAACCATCCAGGGGTACTCACAATAGAAAATCTATCATAACCATCCAAGGGTACTCACAATAGGAAATCTATCAAAACTGTCCTAGGCGTTTCACAATAAAAAAAAAGTCTATCATAACTGTACTGGTCTACTCACAAGAGAAAAATCTATTATAATCGTCTTATTTACTTACAATAGAAAACCCTGAAATGTGGTCATTTAATAATTCCTTCTCGTTTTATATTTCAGGGCAAATAAAAAACGATGGGCTAACGCAGGGTCGCCCCCTAGTGGCGTTGTTGTGGGGAAGGGCTCCGTTCATATCACTGTCAACAGACATTTTGTCGATTATGTCCTTCACAACCAAACAGCACAAGACTTTTTGAATTGGTGCAAAAAGACATTAGTTCCAGATGAAACTTACTTTGCCTCTCTAAATCACAACCCTCAGCTAGGTATCCTGGGTTCTGCTAACGGTAAGATATCTGCTTTATTCTTCTGTGATTACACTGGCTACCAGCCCCAATGTTTTGTAAAGAACTGCCTATATTGGTTATTCTCCATCTAGTTTGAAACTTGTGAACTAGACATATATGTACGGAAGCGTATTCCGGACACGTTGTGATTATTTTATCTCGAAATTTCGAGATAGCAACTCGAAATTTTGAGTAAGTAATCCGAAATTTTGAGTTAGTAATAACAACTCGTAATTTCTACTTACTAACTAAAACATTCGGAGTTGCTATCGCGAAATTTCGGTTTAATATCTCAAAATTTCGGATTACTAACTCAAAATATCGAGTTGCTCTCTCGAAATTTCTGGTTAATATCTCAAAATTTCGGATTACTAACTCAAAATTTCGAGTTGCTATCTCGAAATTTCTGGTTAATATCTCAAAATTTTGAATTACTAACTCGAAATTTCGAGTTAAAAAACACAACGTGGCCGAAATACGCTTCCGTACATATATGCATGTCTATAATGTAAATATTCCAGAGACTGTGGCCAGTCTAGCCTGAGACGTAGGTACTTTTTGGATTGCGATTATTTTCCTTGTTTAAATGTTTCTAGACTGTGACGCATCCATGCTACAGATGTCAGGCTGATAACGCTTATAGAAATACATGTTTTACTGTTTTAGGATATGAAGAACCATACATAATGAATTCAAGATTCAAGAACTGGAGAAGCAGTCCTTGTGCCGGAAAAATAGTTCGACAAATTTGTATATTTGGTATTGGAGATCTGCCTGTACTTTTCAGCAGAAATGAACTATTTGCAAACAAGTTTTACTGGGACTTTCAACCCCTCACTTTAGATTGTATGGAGGAGTTAATTTATAACAGAACAAGAGACGGCTATCTCAACAAGACGGAATTTAACGTAACATTTTACAAGAATTTGCATTTTTTGACGAACCGCTCTAGGTGAGCTACTGTATAATACAAGCCTTCGTCCCAACATCTGAAGCCTTATGTTTTTCTGTTCGGTCTCATTGTGGTAAAGTTTTGAATTAAATTTCCAAAGATCTCTGATCTCTTGTTGAAATATTCGTCTTCTCACGATTAAATACATCGATGCTAAAGCAAGGATATTTTCTACAAATTTGTTCAATTCTCATTGACCTTTAAACTTAATGCATCACCCATGACAATTCGACTCATTTTTGAGCCAAAATAGATCAAAATGAAACGTAAGTGATTGTAAGAAAACACTTATCGTTAACATGACACCGATAGCACTTCGTCGTTATAATCTGATAATATATCACAATCAAAAGATAATTACCCGTATGACTGTCTTTAATATTAAAAAGAGATACAGTCAGCATGACATAGAGGTTAAATATTCGTTCCTATACAGTCAGCATTACATAGGAGTTAAATATTCGTCCCAATACAGTCATCATCACATAGAAGTTAAATATTCGTTCCTATACAGTTAGCATAACATAAAGGTTGAATATTCGTCCCAATACAGTCAGCATTACATAGGAGTTAAATATTCGTCCCAATACAGTCATCATCACATAGAAGTTAAATATTCGTTCCTATACAGTTAGCATAACATAAAGGTTAAATATTCGTCCCTATTCAGTCGACATTATATAGAGGTTAAATATTCGTTCCTATACAGTTAGCATAACATAAAGGTTAAATATTCGTCCCTATACAGTCAGCATTACATAGGAGTTAAATATTCGTTCCTATACAATCAGCATAACACAGAAGTTAAATATTCGTTCCTATACAGTCAGCATAACAGAGAGGTTAAATATTCGTCCCTATAGTCAGCATAACATAGAAGTTGAATATTCGTCCCTATTCAGTCGACATTATATAGAGGTTAAATATTCGTTCCTATACAGTTAGCATAACATAAAGGTTAAATATTCGTCCCTATACAGTTAGCATAACATAGAGGTTAAATATAATGTACATCGGTTACCTTGTCTGATGTTGTCGTAATTGACCTTTGTGTTAAGTTCGATTAAAATATCTACAGACAGAGGGTAAGACTGGACGATATTCACACGGTTACGTATGTTACCTTATATATCACCATGAAAAGCTGAAGTAATACAGCACGTTAATCCCGTTGAATAAATAGTTAAAAGAGTGTTAGGGATAAACATAGCAAAAGAAAGAGTGACAGATAAGTTTGCAGAAATTCTGCTAGCTCTCTAGATTACGATTATGAGGGTTTAGCATGTACTGCGATCATCAAATGAATGACGAAAAGACTTGGAGGTAACGACTGTTGAATCACAATTACAACTGTTACAAGAAAAAAATTACGGTCTTTAATCTGCTTTGGCAATATAGACGTTGAAATAACATTGTGTTATATTAAATGATATGACACCTTTTAGTGTCCCTTATTGAAAGACATAGACATTCAAATAAATTTTGCAGAGCTCCATACAAATGATAAAGACACATAACGTAAGCATGATGATTATCTTTGTTTACAAGTAAAGGGTATGATTAAGACTGACGTCATGATTCCTAATATGCCATTGTGTTTCTGTGTGTTGCTGGACGTAGTAATTATATTTTAATGTATTATTGACTTTTGGGTATGAAAATCCGGAAAAAAAATAACAAGAACAATTTTGAGAATGCAACAGCTGTATTTAATGTTTCAGGTGTCAACAATATCATAAATCAAATATCAGTAAATATCAGAGATGTTGACCTTAGACCTTCGGCGCTATTCAAGCAATAGAGTATTAATGATTAATTAGAATGGTGTTGCAACCGATTTTCAGTTAGTAAAAAGAGCTTTGATATTAAGAAGGATCATGATATCTCATGTTGAATTCGTTGAAAGGTTATTAGCGGTCCCCACACCTTATGCTTCCCTAGAAGGTTAATTGAGTGGGTTTGTATATCATAAATCATTAGTCCCTAATAGCTAGCGTCTTTAAGGGTCTACAGGCTCTTTCCGTGTTCTCTGCACATCGACGTATTCGTTTTCCTTGGGCGGTTCTACAAAGTAAGGTCAGAATGATAATTATAAAATATAATTAATTTTCCTTATTTTGGTACTCGTCATTAATGTACTATATCGGTATTTTGGTATAGAAGTATCTTCGCTTTATATGGTAAAATTAAATCTTCTAGACCATAAACACAAAGTTTAAAGATCTCGCTACCATTCATATCAGTTTTGTTGTAAAATTGAAAACGCAACCACTTTTCCATTATCATATTGTGAAATCCGTAAATAGTTTACAATTACGATGCAATATGTCCATATATCTTGAACTCAAATCCTAAAATAGAGAAAGTAGAGTGAATGAGGTCATCAAACATTTTTTTATTGTTACTTACGTGGAACCCGCATCTCCATGTATTCACAGTGTACAGTAACATTTTCTGGGAGCACGTCCTCTTTTCTACAGCATGAAAAGTATATCGTTTTGTCTTATATAGCGTATAGCAATAACAGAGAGTGTAAGCTGTATAAAGTCTAAACATTATTATGTTCAGCTTTAGTGTCACAACAAAATTTCGCTTCAGTAAAATTTGGTTTCGATAAAAAATATATTTATCATATATACTTTCTCCCTTAACTAATAAACTGAAAATCTTTAATACTTCTAGATTTGAGAAAAGCAAAATAATTAACGAAAATTTGCGTAGAAAAATATATTTAGTATATAAAGTATATTAAGAGTTATCACGTTATCAAACCTGCATCAAACTTGATGTCGAAATCAACCATCAGAACACGAGGCCCATAAGGACATGTATCGGCGACCTGGATCTTAGGTTGTCGGTTATTTCAAATATTTCCAATTTAAGGCTAAGTCATTTATCCTCTTTGATGGAGCAAGACGAATGAGTAATATCATGACTTTCTCTTTTAACTCCCAATATGAGTTTATATGGTTATTGGGTTGGTATTTCAACTATATAAAAAAATTAACACATAATTAATGCCCCTTTATCCACCGTTTACACAAAATTTATTTCCTCTCACCCAACAACACTTTAAATCACATTTGGGCAAAATCCAATAATTCCTACAGGAGTGGGATTTTAAAGAACTTGTTCTATTTCCCCTATTGGGCCAAACCCTTCTGCCCCAGAGGGTGGGACCCATGGTTTAAACAAAATTGATTCCTCTTCATCCAAACATGGTTCATACACAATTTGGATAAAATCCAATCATTCCAACAAGAGGAGTAAGATTTTAAAGAAGTTGCTCTATGTCCCCTATTGGGCCCTGCCCCTCCCGCCCGAATGACCCAAGACCCATTGTTTATACAAAATTGATTTCCCTTCATCCAAAGATAATTCTGATCAAATTTGTGCAAAATCCAATCATTCCTACAGAAGGATTATAAAGAACTAGCAAATGTCCCTCTTTTGGGCCCCGCCCATCAGGCCCTGAGGTGCCAGGGCACACTTTTTATACAATATGTTCCCATTCCCTCAGGATGCTTCTGACCAGATTTGGCCAAATTTCCCTCAGAAGTTCATTACTAGAAACGTTTTGTAGAAGAAGTTATCCCTGTAACTCACTTGGCCCTTCGGACAAGGCGAGCTAGAAAATGTTAGTTCAAAGTTAGTAAAAAGTAAAAGAACTTAAACACAGCGGACAATGCATGCATTAAAGTGTATATACATGTGTATATTACAAAATGACAACACTTACATTTCTGATAGGCAACCTGTATAAAGAAAGAATGTGTATTATCTGACAAATAACAACATCGCCATTTGAATTGGGCTGGATGCAGCTCTTAAGTGTACCCTGAGTCTTTTGATATTTGAACTGTGTGTGAGTGTCTGAAAACTAGAGCATATACTATCTAAATGATTCTCTTCTCATCCATGATTCGTCAAGAATATAACAGTAAATATACTTTTTATTAACCAGTTGGTTTCTAGAAAATATGGAGAACTCTAATCTTATACACAGACTTATCTACGTTAGTGATTCTTTACAACATAAACTGACAAACGATCAAAAACTCAGATGTACGAAAGCACACTCACCACCGTTTTTCTTTACAAATGGATATGTAATATTGGAAGAAATACACCAGTACAAAAATGAATACTTATATTGGGCAGCAACATGTATTACAATCTACATTTATAAAAGCCAGAAGCAATTTGAAAAAAACTATTTATTATATGTAAGAAAAACTTGTCTTGAATATTTGCATTAATCAGGGGTATGGGGAGGAAATCATTTTGTTTTTATTATGATTCATGCCATATAGTGATACGTGTTAAATGTTCAAACCAAATTAAGAAATCTGGCAAGGAGAACTGTCCCTTCAAGACTCACAAAGATAGGTAAAATAGCAATGAACCATCTGACCAGGCTGAAACATTTTATTTATTAATGTATTAATCAATTAATATTCATTAGTAGATTATGCTTTGTGTACTTGTAAGTATTTAATGATAATACTTATTGTAGATATATGCATGTTTCCATCATATTAATTGTTTTCAATATGTAAATATCTATTGGGAGAAGATGTAAATAAGTTGAAATGACTCGTGTCTCTTGTTGTAAGGTTGACGATAAATTTATGTTTAAATCGACCACCGTCTGAAAATTCTGGCAAATTTTATATGGGTGTCTACCGTGTACAGGATGTTATCGCCAGAATTATCTCAACTTTATAGCATTCAGTTTTAACCTGATGTTACATAGCAACGTTGTTCTCGATCTCGCCTATTCCTTTCATAACAGCTGCTACCGTCGACACCTGTTTATCTCCTTCTGACAAGCAGCCTTTCATTACTTACTACCTGTTTAACATTCACATTTATAGATCATTCTCAATAATATTCTCACAAAACCTTACGTGATAAGTTTCATTAAAGGAGCGGTGTCATCGCTTATCATGTTTTCGGGGGCAGTTTCCTTGCCTATGTTTACCTTTTTCAGGTGTATCAGTGTTCTGATTGGACGGTGTTTCCGCGAGATTTGGTTCCTGGGTCAGATTGTCTTGACCGGCAGCAGATTCTTTATATTTACGACTTGGAGGCTTCTTAAGGATAGGTGGTTTCTTTTTCTGTTTGGAAATAGATGAAACATTTTAATAAACTTTATTTATTTTACAACTTTCTTCTCGGACTGGATGGAAGCGCTAAAGGTCCAACTCAGGGAAAAAACTGCAGTATCCCGTAAAAACCCGTGTGGTCGGGCAAAATATCACATACACTTTCCCCGTCAGTTCCAGGCGAAGGTGAGTGCGCAATCAGCGCATAATGAAACCTTTAAAGCGTTAACTAATAGACATAAAACACAACACCTCCATATCAAACCATGTTATTAAGCGTTAACTAACAGACATAAAACACAACACCCCCATATCAAACCATGTTATTAAGCGTTAACTAATAGACATAAAACACAACACCTCCATATCAAACCATATTATTAAGCGATAACTAATAGTCATAAAACACAACACCTCCAAATTGAACCATGTTATTGAGCGTTAACTAATTGACATTAAACACAACACCTCCATATTAAACCATGTTATTAAACGTTAACTAATAGACATAAAACACAACACCTCCATATTAAACCATGTTATTAAGCGATAACTAATAGTCATAAAACACAACACCTCCAAATTGAACCATGTTATTGAGCGTTAACTAATTGACATTAAACACAACACCTCCATATTAAACCATGTTATTAAGCGTTAACTAATAGACATAAAACACAACACCTCCATATTAAACCATGCTATTAAGCGATAACTAATAGTCATAAAACACACCTCCAAATTAAACCATGTTATTAAGCGTTAACTAACAGACATAAAACACAACACCCCCATATCAAACCATGTTATTAAGCGTTAACTAATAGACATAAAACACAACACCTCCATATCAAACCATATTATTAAGCGATAACTAATAGTCATAAAACACAACACCTCCAAATTGAACCATGTTATTAAGCGATAACTAATAGTCATAAAACACAACACCTCCAAATTGAACCATGTTATTGAGCGTTAACTAATTGACATTAAACACAACACCTCCATATTAAACCATGTTATTAAGCGTTAACTAACGGACATAAAACACAAAACCTCCATGTTAAATCATGTTAATAAGCGTTAGCTTATAGACATAAACCACAACTCATCCATGTTAAATCATGTTATTAAGCGTTAACTAATAAACATAAACACAACACCTCAATATCAAATCATGTTATTAAGCGTTAGCTAATAGACATAAAACACAAAACCTTCATATTAAACCATGTTATTAAGCGTTAACTAATAGACATAAACACAACACCTCTATATTGAATCGTGTTATTAAGTGTTAACTAAAAGACATAAAACACAAAACCTCCATATTAAACCATGTTATTAAGCGTTAACTAATAGACATAAAACACAACACCCCCATATTAAACCATGTTATTAAGCGTTAACTAATAGACATAAAACACAACACCTCCATATTAAACCATGTTATTGAGCGTTAACTAATAGACATAAAACACAACACCTCCATGTTAAATCATGTTATGAAGCGTTAACTAAAGGACATAAAACACAAAACCTCCCTATTAACTAATAGACATGAAACACAACACCTCCATATTAAACCATGTTATTAAGCGTTAACTAATAGACATAAAACACAACACCTCCATATTAAACCATATTATTAAGCGTTAACTAATAGACATAAAACACAACACCCCCATATTAAACCATGTTATTAAGCGTTAACTAATAGACATAAAACACAACACCTCCATATTAAACCATGTTATTAAGCGTTAACCAACAGACATAAAACACAACACCTCCATATTAAACTATGTTATTAAGTGTTAACTAATAGACATAAAACACAACACCTCTATATTGAATCATGTTATTAAGCGTTAACTTACGGACATAAAACACAAAACCTCCCTATTAACTAATAGACATGAAACACAACACCCCCATATTAAACCATGTTATTAAGCGTTATCTAATAGACATAAAACACAACACCTCCATATTAAACCATATTATTAAGCGTTAACTAACAGACATAAAACACAACACCTCCATATTAAACCATGTTATTAAGTGTTAACTAATAGACATAAAACACAACACCTCTATATTGAATCATGTTATTAAGCGTTAACTTACGGACATAAAACACAAAACCTCCCTATCAACTAAAAGACATGAAACACAACACCCCCATATTAAACCATGTTATTAAGCGTTATCTAATAGACATAAAACACAACACCTCCATATTAAACCATATTATTAAGCGTTAACTAACAGACATAAAACACAACACCCCCATATCAAACCATGTTATTAAGCGTTAACTAACAGACATAAAACACAACACCCCCATATCAAACCATGTTATTAAGCGATAACTAATAGTCATAAAACACAACACCTCCAAATTGAACCATGTTATTGAGCGTTAACTAATTGACATTAAACACAACACCTCCATATTAAACCATGTTATTAAGCGTTAACTAATAGACATTAAACACAACACCTCCATATTAAACCATGTTATTAAGCGTTAACTAATAGACATAAACACAACACCTCCATATTAAACCATGTTATTAAGCGTTAACTAACGGACATAAACCACAACTCCTCCATGTTAAATCATGTTATTAAGCGTTAACTAATAAACATAAACACAACACCTCTATATTGAATCATGTTATTAAGTGTTAACTAAAAGACATAAAACACAAAACCTTCATATTAAACCATGTTATTAAGCGTTAACTAATAGACATAAACACAACACCTCTATATTGAATCGTGTTATTAAGTGTTAACTAAAAGACATAAAACACAAAACCTCCATATTAAACCATGTTATTAAGCGTTAACTAATAGACATAAAACACAACACCTCCAAATTAAACCATGTTATTAAGCGTTAACTAACAGACATAAAACACAACAACACCCCCATATCAAACCATGTTATTAAGCGTTAACTAATAGACATAAACACAACACCTCCATATTAAACCATGTTATTAAGCGTTAACTAACGGACATAAAACACAAAACCTCCATGTTAAATCATGTTAATAAGCGTTAGCTTATAGACATAAACCACAACTCCTCCATGTTAAATCATGTTATTAAGCGTTAACTAATAAACATAAACACAACACCTCAATAACAAATCATGTTATTAAGCGTTAGCTAATAGACATAAAACACAAAACCTTCATATTAAACCATGTTATTAAGCGTTAACTAATAGACATAAACACAACACCTCTATATTGAATCGTGTTATTAAGTGTTAACTAAAAGACATAAAACACAAAACCTCCATATTAAACCATGTTATTAAGCGTTAACTAATAGACATAAAACACAACACCTCCATGTTAAATCATGTTATGAAGCGTTAACTAAAGGACATAAAACACAAAACCTCCCTATTAACTAATAGACATGAAACACAACACCTCCATATTAAACCATGTTATTAAGCGTTAACTAATAGACATAAAACACAACACCTCCATATTAAACCATATTATTAAGCGTTAACTAATAGACATAAAACACAACACCCCCATATTAAACCATGTTATTAAGCGTTAACTAATAGACATAAAACACAACACCTCCATATCAAACCATATTATTAAGCGATAACTAATAGACATAAAACACAACACCTCCATATTAAACCATATTATTAAGCGTTAACTAATAGACATAAAACACAACACCCCCATATTAAACCATGTTATTGAGCGTTAACTAATTGACATTAAACACAACACCTCCATATTAAACCATGTTATTAAACGTTAACTAATAGACATAAAACACAACACCTCCATATTAAACCATGTTATTAAGCGATAACTAATAGTCATAAAACACAACACCTCCAAATTGAACCATGTTATTGAGCGTTAACTAATTGACATTAAACACAACACCTCCATATTAAACCATGTTATTAAGCGTTAACTAATAGACATAAAACACAACACCTCCATATTAAACCATGCTATTAAGCGATAACTAATAGTCATAAAACACACCTCCAAATTAAACCATGTTATTAAGCGTTAACTAACAGACATAAAACACAACACCCCCATATCAAACCATGTTATTAAGCGTTAACTAATAGACATAAAACACAACACCTCCATATCAAACCATATTATTAAGCGATAACTAATAGTCATAAAACACAACACCTCCAAATTGAACCATGTTATTAAGCGATAACTAATAGTCATAAAACACAACACCTCCAAATTGAACCATGTTATTGAGCGTTAACTAATTGACATTAAACACAACACCTCCATATTAAACCATGTTATTAAGCGTTAACTAACGGACATAAAACACAAAACCTCCATGTTAAATCATGTTAATAAGCGTTAGCTTATAGACATAAACCACAACTCCTCCATGTTAAATCATGTTATTAAGCGTTAACTAATAAACATAAACACAACACCTCAATAACAAATCATGTTATTAAGCGTTAGCTAATAGACATAAAACACAAAACCTTCATATTAAACCATGTTATTAAGCGTTAACTAATAGACATAAACACAACACCTCTATATTGAATCGTGTTATTAAGTGTTAACTAAAAGACATAAAACACAAAACCTCCATATTAAACCATGTTATTAAGCGTTAACTAATAGACATAAAACACAACACCCCCATATTAAACCATGTTATTAAGCGTTAACTAATAGACATAAAACACAACACCTCCATATTAAATCATGTTATTGAGCGTTAACTAATAGACATAAAACACAACACCTCCATGTTAAATCATGTTATGAAGCGTTAACTAAAGGACATAAAACACAAAACCTCCCTATTAACTAATAGACATGAAACACAACACCTCCATATTAAACCATGTTATTAAGCGTTAACTAATAGACATAAAACACAACACCTCCATATTAAACCATATTATTAAGCGTTAACTAATAGACATAAAACACAACACCCCCATATTAAACCATGTTATGAAGCGATAACTAATATACATAAAACACAACACCTCCATATTAAACCATGTTATTAAGCGTTAACTAATAGATTAAGTGTTAACTATAAAACACAACACCTCCATATTGAACCATGTTATTAAGCGTTAACTAATAGACATAAACACAACACCTCCATATTAAACCATGTTATTAAGCGTTAACTAATAGACATAAAACACAACACCTCCAACAAAACACAACACCCCCATATTGAAACAAAACACAACACCTAAAACACAACACCTCTATATTGAATCATGTTATTAAGCGTTAACTTACGGACATAAAACACAAAACCTCCCTATTAACTAATAGACATGAAACACAACACCTCCATATTAAACCATATTATTAAGCGTTAACTAACAGACATAAAACACAACACCTCCATATTAAACCATGTTATTAAGTGTTAACTAATAGACATAAAACACAACACCTCTATATTGAATCATGTTATTAAGCGTTAACTTACGGACATAAAACACAAAACCTCCCTATCAACTAATAGACATGAAACACAACACCCCCATATTAAACCATGTTATTAAGCGTTATCTAATAGACATAAAACACAACACCTCCATATTAAACCATATTATTAAGCGTTAACTAACAGACATAAAACACAACACCCCCATATCAAACCATGTTATTAAGCGTTAACTAACAGACATAAAAACTACAACACCTCCACAACACCCCCATATCAAACCATGTTATTAAGCGATAACTAATAGTCATAAAACACAACACCTCCAAATTGAACCATGTTATTGAGCGTTAACTAATTGACATTAAACACAACACCTCCATATTAAACACAACTAATAGACATTAAACACAACACCTCCATATTAAACCATGTTATTAAGCGTTAACTAATAGACATAAACACAACACCTCCATATTAAACCATCGTTAACAACGGACATAAACCACAACCATGTTAAATCATGTTATTAAGCGTTAACTAATAAACATAAACACAACACCTCTATATTGAATCATGTTATTAAACACATAAAACACAAAACCTTCATATTAAACCATGTTATTAAGCGTTAACTAATAGACATAAACACAACACCTCTATATTGAATCGTGTTATTAAGTGTTAACTAAAAGACATAAAACACAAAACCTCCATATTAAACCATGTTATTAAGCGTTAACTAATAGACATAAAACACAACACCTCCAAATTAAACCATGTTATTAAGCGTTAACTAACAGACATAAAACACAACAACACCCCCATATCAAACCATGTTATTAAGCGTTAACTAATAGACATAAACACAACACCTCCATATTAAACCATGTTATTAAGCGTTAACTAACGGACATAAAACACAAAACCTCCATGTTAAATCATGTTAATAAGCGTTAGCTTATAGACATAAACCACAACTCCTCCATGTTAAATCATGTTATTAAGCGTTAACTAATAAACATAAACACAACACCTCAATAACAAATCATGTTATTAAGCGTTAGCTAATAGACATAAAACACAAAACCTTCATATTAAACCATGTTATTAAGCGTTAACTAATAGACATAAACACAACACCTCTATATTGAATCGTGTTATTAAGTGTTAACTAAAAGACATAAAACACAAAACCTCCATATTAAACCATGTTATTAAGCGTTAATAGACATAAAACACTAATAGACATAAAACACAACACCCCCATATTAAACCATGTTATTAAGCGTTAACTAATAGACATAAAACACAACACCTCCATATTAAATCATGTTATTGAGCGTTAACTAATAGACATAAAACACAACACCTCCATGTTAAATCATGTTATGAAGCGTTAACTAAAGGACATAAAACACAAAACCTCCCTATTAACTAATAGACATGAAACACAACACCTCCATATTAAACCATGTTATTAAGCGTTAACTAATAGACATAAAACACAACACCTCCATATTAAACCATATTATTAAGCGTTAACTAATAGACATAAAACACAACACCCCCATATTAAACCATGTTATTAAGCGTTAACTAATAGACATAAAACACAACACCTCCATATTAAACCATGTTATTAAGCGTTAACCAACAGACATAAAACACAACACCTCCATATTAAACTATGTTATTAAGTGTTAACTAATAGACATAAAACACAACACCTCTATATTGAATCATGTTATTAAGCGTTAACTAAGAGACATAAAACACAAAACCTCCCTATTAACTAATAGACATAAAACACAACACCTCCATATTAAACCATATTATTAAGCGTTAACTAACAGACATAAAACACAACACCTCTAGATTGAATCATGTTATTAAGCGTTAACTTACGGACATAAAACACAAAACCTCCCTATTAACTAATAGACATGAAACACAACACTCCCATATTAAACCATGTTATTAAGCGTTATCTAATAGACATAAAACACAACACCTCCATATTAAAACATATTATTAAGCGTTAACTAACAGACATAAAACACAACACCTCCATATTAAACCATGTTATTAAGCGTTAACCAACAGACATAAAACACAACACCTCCATATTAAACCATGTTATTAAGTGTTAACTAATAGAAACACAACACCTCTATATTGAATCATGTTATTAAGCGTTAACTTACGGACATAAAACACAAAACCTCCCTATTAACTAATAGACATGAAACACAACACCCCCATATTAAACCATGTTATTAAGCGTTATCTAATAGACATAAAACACAACACCTCCATATTAAACCATATTATTAAGCGTTAACTAACAGACATAAAACACAACACCTCCATATTAAACCATGTTATTAAGTGTTAACTAATAGACATAAAACACAACACCTCCATATATTGAACTCATGTTATTAAGCGTTAACTTACGGACATAAAACACAAAACCTCCCTATTAACTAATAGACATGAAACACAACACCCCCATATTAAACCATGTTATTAAGCGTTATCTAATAGACATAAAACACAACACCTCCATATTAAACCATATTATTAAGCGTTAACTAACAGACATAAAACACAACACCCCCATATCAAACCATGTTATTAAGCGTTAACTAACAGACATAAAACACAACACCCCCATATCAAACCATGTTATTAAGCGATAACTAATAGTCATAAAACACAACACCTCCAAATTGAACCATGTTATTGAGCGTTAACTAATTGACATTAAACACAACACCTCCATATTAAACCATGTTATTAAGCGTTAACTAATAGACATTAAACACAACACCTCCATATTAAACCATGTTATTAAGCGTTAACTAATAGACATAAACACAACACCTCCATATTAAACCATGTTATTAAGCGTTAACTAATAGACATAAACACAACACCTCCATATTAAACCATGTTATTAAGCGTTAACTAACGGACATAAAACTCAAAACCTCCATGTTAAATCATGTTAATAAGCGTTAGCTTATAGACATAAACCACAACTCCTCCATGTTAAATCATGTTATTAAGCGTTAACTAATAAACATAAACACAACACCTCAATATCAAATCATGTTATTAAGCGTTAACTAATAGACATAAAACACAAAACCTTCATATTAAACCATGTTATTAAGCGTAAACTAATAGACATAAACACAACACCTCTATATTGAATCGTGTTATTAAGTGTTAACTAAAAGACGTAAAACACAAAACCTCCATATTAAACCATGTTATTAAGTGTTAACTAATAGACATAAAACACAACACCTCCATATTAAACCATGTTATTAAGCGTTAACTAATAGACATAAAACACAAAACCTCCCTATTAACTAATAGACATGAAACACAACACCCCCATATTAAACCATGTTATTAAGCGTTAACTAATAGACATAAAACACAACACCTCCATATTAAACCATGTTATTGAGCGTTAACTAATAGACATAAAACACAACACCTCCATGCTAAATCATGTTATGAAGCGTTAACTAAAGGACATAAAACACAAAACCTCCCTTTTAACTAATAGACATGAAACACAACACCCCCATATTAAACCATGTTATTAAGCGTTATCTAATAGACATAAAACACAACACCTCCATATTAAACCATATTATTAAGCGTTAACTAACAGACATAAAACACAACACCTCCATATTAAACCATGTTATTGAGCGTTAACTAATAGACATAAAACACAACACCTCCATGTTAAATCATGTTATGAAGCGTTAACTAAAGGACATAAAACACAAAACCTCCCTATTAACTAATAGACATGAAACACAACACCTCCATATTAAACCATGTTATTAAGCGTTAACTAATAGACATAAAACACAACACCTCCATATTAAACCATATTATTAAGCGTTAACTAATAGACATAAAACACAACACCTCCATATTAAACCATGTTATTAAGCGTTAACTAGAAGACATAAAACACAACTCATACACCTCCATAACAAATCGTGTTATTCTGTTTTATGTGCTCATGTTTTCATGAGAATATTTTATGCTTGAGCTCTACGGAAGGTGTGATATATAACAGTATTCCCTTGTACTTCACTGTGTTAGTATTCTAACGTTCCTGCAAGCTCCATTGAGATAACAATTTACGTGCACTCCGAATACCCATCACATTCATGTATATCACATTTGAAAAAGATGACATCAGACAAGTTACTGATTTTCATTTTGACTTCCTCATTTCCAGAACTGTAATTTAAATAGTACAATGATATATCAATCCATCGACCATAAAGCATATAATACTAATCTCCATCCGGTATACACGTTTCAAACAAAGGCCAGCACACACCTTTCACTAAAATAATCTTCATGACTTCTTGACTCTAGGTCATTATACTAACCTCCACATTAGCTTTCGGAACACTTAATGTGACCTTTGCTTCTGCTGCTGCTGCTGAACCGAAACCGGAAGAACAGAATCGAACTGACTCAGCAGCAGGAATGTCGTCATAAATATTGTCAGAGCTACAAGTCAAAACGTTTCAATGATTCATTTTTATAGAACCCAAAGTCGCTCTTATGTCAAAAGTTACTTTTATTTTAAAAGATATTTAGCATTTGGGGAACTTGTAAAGGGGGTTTAAATTTGACAATAAGGGTATCTATAGTGAGGTTTGATGATAAACGTATTTTTAGGTGTGTTCAACATTGGAGGTATTTGTGGTTCGCGTATTTATTTAAGGGTACGTACTTTTATGGTGCGTTTTACATTAGGGGTAATTGAAAGATATGTATTACATTAGAGGTACTTGTAAGAGGTATATTATATTAGCAATACTTGTAAAGATGCATAATATTTGGAGTGTATTACATTGTAGGTATTTCTAGATGTGTATGGATTAGAGATACCTATAAGGAGTGTTTTAAATTAGGGGTACTTGTAAGGAATGTCTCACATTAGGGGTACTTGTTAGGGGTGTGTTACATTAGGGGTACTTGTTAGGGGTGTGTTACATTAGGGTACTTGTTAGGGGTGTGTTACATTAGCAATACTTGTAAGGGGTGTGTTACATTAGGGGTACTTGTTAGGGGTGTATTGCATTAGGGGTACTTGTCAGGGGTGTATTGTATTAGGGGTACTTGTTAGGGATGTATTGCATTAGGGGTACTTGTTAGGGGTACTTGTAAGGGGTGTGTTACATTAGGGGTACTTGTTAGGGGTGTATTACATTAGGGGTACTTGTTAGGGGTGTGTTACATTAGCAATACTTGTAAGGAATGTCTCACATTAGGGGTACTTGTTAGGGGTGTGTTACATTAGGGGTACTTGTTAGGGGTGTATTGCATTAGGGGTACTTGTTAGGGGTGTATTGTATTAGGGGTACTTGTTAGGGGTGTATTGCATTAGGGGTACTTGTTAGGGGTACTTGTAAGGGGTGTGTTACATTAGGGGTACTTGTTAGGGATACTTGTAAGGGGTGTGTTACATTAGGGGTACTTGTTAGGGGTGTGTTACATTAGGGGTACTTGTTAGGTGTGTGTTACATTAGGGGTACTTGTTAGGGGTGTGTTACATTAGCAATACTTGTAAGGAATGTCTCACATTAGGGGTACTTGTTAGGGGTGTGTTACATTAGGGGTACTTGTTAGGGGTGTGTTACATTAGGGGTACTTGTAAGGAGTGTGTTACATTAGGGGTACTTGTAAGGGGTGTGTTACATTAGGGGTACTTGTAAGGGGTGTGTTACATTAGGGGTACTTGTTAGGGGTGTGTTATATTAGCAATACTTGTAAGGAAAATCTCACATTAAGGGTACTTGTTAGGGGTGTGTTACATTAGAGGTACTTGTAAGGAATGTATTAATTATGTGTACTTATAAGGGTTGTATAACATTTGGGTACTTTTAAAAGGTATATTACATTAAGGATACTTGTAAGGAATGTATCAATTATGTATGCTTTTAAGGGATGCATTACCTTTGGGTACATGTAAGGGTGTATTACCTTTGGGGTACATGTAAGGCATGAATACATTAGGGAACTTGTAAGGGGTGTATTACATAAGGGGTCTTTGTGAAAAATGTAACAATTTTGTAAAGGCTATATTAATTTAGAAATTCCTAAAATGATGTCTATATGTAGTTGATATATCAGGGAAAGTTTGTTAATGGACAATAGTTAATAATCTTTCATAACATATAAACAAGAGGCTAATAAGGCCTGTATCGCTCGCCTGGACCCTAAAACCCAACAATGGTTATACATGACTATAGGTTGGCTATTTCAAATATTTCCGAATTAAAACTCAGTCACTTAAACTCTTTGATGGGTTAAGACCAATGGTTAAATTCTTATATCATTACTGTCGTTCTGTTTTGATTCCTATAGTTTATATGGTTATCGGGTTGATATCGCAACTATATCAAAAATTTAACACAGAAATAATGTCCACTTGAGGTGTGCCACACCCAAGGATCAATTCGTCAATAACAAAATGTGTTTATCTCTTGATGCCAAGCATATGGTTATGGGGTGCGGATTTCAACTGTTTCAAATATATCACCGAGAAATTGTCCAGAAGGGTAGGTCCACACCCCAAGGCCAGTTCTGACATTATGAATGGGTTTATCTCTTAATGTCCAGCATTTCCTTGTACGGTTCAGGAGTGGGGATCTCAACCGTTTCAAAGATATTACCACGAAACATTGAATATCTAGGAGTAGGGACGACCCCAATGTCAATTCTTAAATCACAATTGTGTTTATCTCTTTATGCCCGGCAATGCTATGCATGGTTATGCTTCAATAATGATAGCTTCAAAGATATATCCCCTATTAGGCCTAGCCTCTCAGGCCCCTAGGGGCCGAGATGAACGATTTATATAAAATTGATTCCCCTTCACCTAATAAATGCTTCAGATCAAATTTAGGAAAATTCCAATCATTCCTACAGGAGGAGGATGGTTTTAAAGCATTTGTTCTACTTTCCCATATCGAGCACCTCAACTCCTGCCTAGGAGGCCGATATCCACTATGTATACCAAATTGATTCCTCTTCACCAAAACATGATTCTCACCAAATTTGGGTAAAATTTAATCATTGCTACACGAGAAGTAGGAATTTAAAGGATTTGCTCTATTTTCCCTATTGCGCCAAGCCCATTCTGTCCCAAGAGGGGCGAGACCCATTGTTTATACAAATTTGATTTCCATTCACCAAAATATGCTTTAGACCAAATTTGGGAATATATCAAAGCAGCCCTACTGGAGAAGTAGGATTACAAAGAACTTGCAAAATTTTCATCTTAAGGCCCTGCCCCTAATGCCTAAGGGGTCATTATCCACCGTTTATACAGTAATAATCCCTATTCACCCAAAAATGCTGTAGACCAAATTTGGGCAAAATCCAATCATTGCTACTGGAGTAGTAGGATTTTAAATGATTTGCCAAATATCCATTTTTGGGCCTACCTTCATCGCCCCAGGATGCCGAGACCCACCGTTTATACAAGCTTCATTCCCTTTCAGTCAAGAATACTTCAAACCAAATTTGAGCAAAATCCAATCATTCCTACAGGAGGGGTAGGATTTTTAAAACATTGCTCTATTACCCCATTGGGTCCTTCCCTTCAGGCCCCAGGGTGCGCGAGACCTACCATTCAAACAATTTGATTCCCCTTCACCCAACTGTGTCATTTGGCCCAGTATACAACATACCTACATTTAAAGTATACAACATACCTACATTTGAAGTATACAACATACCTACATTTAACGCGTACAACATACCTACATTTGAAGCGTACCTACATTTGAAGTGTACAACATACCTACATTTAACGTGTACAACATACCTACATTTAACGTGTACAACATACCTACATTTAACGTGTACAACATACCTACATTTGACGTGTACAACATACCTACATTTAACGTGTACAACATACCTACATTTAAAGTATACAACATACCTACATTTGAAGTATACAACATACCTACATTTGAAGTGTACAACATACCTACATTTAACGTGTACAACATACCTACATTTAACGCGTACAACATACCTACATTTAACGTGTACAACATACCTACATTTAACGTATACAACATACCTACATTTGATGTGCACAACATACCTACATTTGAAGTATACAACATACCTACATTTAACGTGTACAACATACCTACATTTGAAGTATACAACATACCTACATTTAACGTGTACAACATACCTACATTTAACGTGTACAACATACCTACATTTAACGCGTACAACATACCTACATTTAACGTGTACAACATACCTACATTTAACGTGTACAACATACCTACATTTGAAGTGTACAACATACCTACATTTAACGTGTACAACATACCTACATTTAACGTGTACAACATACCTACATTTGTAGTAAACATACCTACTTTTGTGGTAAACATACCTACATTTAACGTGTACAACACACCTACATTTAACGTGTACAACATACCTACATTTGAAGTATACAACATACCTACATTTAACGTGTACAACATACCTACATTTAACGTGTACAACATACCTACATTTAACGTGTACAACATACCTACATTTAACGTGTACAACATACCTACATTTAACGTGTACAACATACCTACATTTAACGTGTACAACATACCTACATTTAACGTGTACAACATACCTACATTTAACGTGTACAACATACCTACATTTAACGTGTACAACATACCTACATTTGAAGTGTACAACATACCTACATTTAACGTGTACAACATACCTACATTTAACGCGTACAACATACCTACATTTAACGTGTACAACATACCTACATTTAACGTGTACAACATACCTACATTTAACGTGTACAACATACCTACATTTAACGTGTACAACATACCTACATTTAACGTGTACAACATACCTACATTTAACGTGTACAACATACCTACATTTAACGTGTACATTATACCTACATTTAACGCGTACAACATACCTACATTTAACGTGTACAACATACCTACATTTAACGTGTACAACATACCTACATTTAACGTGTACAGCATACCTACATTTAACGCGTACAACATACCTACATTTAACGTGTACAACATACCTACATTTAACGTGTACATTATACCTACATTTAACGCGTACAACATACCTACATTTAACGTGTACAACATACCTACATTTAACGTGTACAACATACCTACATTCGAAGTATACAACATATCCTACATTTAACGTGTAAAACATACCTACATTCGAAGTATACAACATACCTACATTTAACGTGTACAACATACCTACATTTAACGTGTACAACATACCTACATTTAACGTGTAAAACATACCTACATTTGACGTGTACAACATACCTATATTTAACGTGTATAACATACCTACATTTAACGTGTACAACATACCTACATTTGTAGTAAACATACCTACATTTGAAGTGTACAACATACCTACATTTAACGTGTACAACATACCTACATTTAACGTGTACAACATACCTACATTTGACGTGTACAACATACCTACATTTAACGTGTACAACATACCTACATTTAACGCGTACAACATACCTACATTTAACGTGTACAACATACCTACATTTAACGTGTACAACATACCTACATTTAACGTGTACAACATACCTACATTTAACGTGTACAACATACCTACATTTGAAGTGTACAACATACCTACATTTAACGTGTACAACATACCTACATTTAACGTGTACAACATACCTACATTTGACGTGTACAACATACCTACATTTAACGTGTACAACATACCTACATTTGACGTGTACAACATACCTACATTTAACGTGTACAACATACCTACATTTAACGTGTACAACATACCTACATTCGAAGTATACAACATACCTACATTTAACGTGTACAACATACCTACATTTGACGTGTACAACATACCTACATTTAACGTGTACAACATACCTACATTTAACGTGTACAACATACCTACATTTAACGTGTACAACATACGTACATTTGACGTGTACAACATATTTACATTTAACGTGTACAAGATACCTACATTTGACGTGTACAACATATTTACATTTAAAGTGTACAAGATACCTACATTTGACGTGTACAACATATTTACATTTAAAGTGTATCATATACTTTTATCAAACTATACCACATACCTATACTTAAAGCAATGGAGTTGTACACACCAGACACCAATCCTAAATTAGCTTTTGACTCGCAATCGCCTTTTCTGAAGAAGAAGAATAATAATAAGGATCGGTGGCCGATTTCATATCAAAAGAGATATTGTGTTCCATGAAAATTAATAATAATAACTGTGTTCCGACTCAAATTTATATCATACCTTGCTTTCCGAAGTCTTTTTTCTAAAAACAAAGAAAACAAAACAATCTTGAGCGTGAAACAAGGCCTGGGAATGCCATGAAAATGGCGACAGCAGGCCTTTGCACCCGCTTATGGATTACATAAGTGTAAAGTGAATGTGTCATTCACATATCAAAAATATATTATGAATTGTAGTAAGTTTCTTCTAATTTACAGACAGAGGCAAAATTTATCTTGAATGGGTGTCCGTTTTATATGAAATGTATGTATGACATAACAAAATAGCACGTTATTCATTCATACTGTACCTAATACAATACTACTTACCAATAACAATAGCATCTGTTCGTCCTAGGTTTTCCAAGTCCTGATACACTGTGTCTGGTTGTTCATCCTCACGTGAATAACACACTGACTTAAGTCCACAGAACTTCCCGATTCTTACTAAATACCCTGAAACAAGAAGGTATTGTTAAATGATTTGAAAATGGAACACCCGTCTTCATCTGACCATGGCTGTCAGTGTCTCCACAGACACCTGTCCTCATCTGACCATGGCTGTCAGTGTCTCCATAGACACACGTCTTCATCTGACCTTGGCTGTTAGTGTCTCCATAGACACCCGCCCCCATCTGACCATGGCTGTCAGTGTCTCCATAGACACCCGTCCTCATCTGACCATGGCTGTTAGTGTCTCCATAGACACCCGCCCTCATCTGACCATGGCTGTTAGTGTCTCCATAGATAACCGTCCTCATAGTGTTCTGGCTGAAAGCGTCTTCTATAAGCATTCGTTCATATATGATCCCGATCAGAGACACCTGTCCTCATATCACCCCGACTGTTGACGACATAGACATCGGTTCTTATGTAATCCTGACTAGACAACCTTGTCCTTATATGACCCTGGCTGTTGTGGAAAAGGATCTCTGGATGCACACGGCGCATTGTGTTGACGTTATCTTGGACGAATTGGCCATCGCGACACGCTCGATCATATGTCAACTCGTCCCGAAGGTGATGTACGACGGTGCGTTACAATATCGAGTGTAGTTTGCACCCGGTCATACCTGAGAAAAGACATGGTTTCTACGCTCTCGGTGTGATTGCAAACTATATCATACAGACCTGTTCTGTATTATATATTTACGCATCATTCTCCTAAAATTCATCTATGTTTACAACAGTATTTCTAGATACCTGTTCTTATATAACCCTGGTTGATGATGTCTCTAGCTACCTGTACCTATATGACCCTGGCTGTTGGTGCCAAGCTACCTGTACTTATATGACCCTGGTTGATGATGTCTCTAGATACCTGTTATATGACCCTGGCTGTTGATGTCTCTAGATACCTGTTATATGACCCTGGCTGATGGTGTCTCTAGATACCTGTTATATGAGCCTGGCTGATGGTGTCTCTAGATACCTGTTATATGACCCTGGCTGTTGATGTCTCTAGATACCTGTTATATGACCCTGGCTGATGGTGTCTCTAGATACCTGTTATATGAGCCTGGCTGATGGTGTCTCTAGATACCTGTTATATGACCCTGGCTGTTGATGTCTCTAGATACCTGTTATATGACCCTGTTTGATGGTGTCTATATACCTGTTCTTATATGACCCTGGCTGTTGATGTCTCTAGCAACCTGATTTCCTACGGCCCTGGTTGATGATTTCTCTAGATACCTGTTATATGACCCTGGCTGATGGTGTCTCTAGCTACCTGTTCTCCTACGGCCCTGTTTGATGGTGTCTCTAGATACCTGTTATATGACCCTGGCTGATGGTGTCTCCAGATAACTGTACTTATATGACCCTGGCTGATGGTGTCTCTAAATACCTGTTCTCCTAAGACCATGGTTGATGGTGTCTCTAGATACCTGTCCATATATGACCCTGGCTGTTTGTGTCTCTAGATACCTGTTCTCCTACGACCCTGGCTGATGGTGTCTCTAGATACCTGTTATATGACCCTGGCTGATGGTGTCTCTAGATACCTGTACTTATATGACCCTGGCTGATGGTGTCTCTAGATACCTATACTTATATGACCATGGCTGTTAATGTCTTTAGATACCTGTTATATGACCCTGGCTGATGGTGTCTCTAGATACCTGTATTATGACCCTGGCTGATGGTGTCTCTAGCTACCTGATCTCCTACGGCCCTGGTTGATGATGTCTCTAGATACCTGTACTTATATGACCATGGCTGTTAATATCTTTAGATACTTGTAATATGACCCTGGCTGATGGTGTCTCTAGATACCTGTTCTCCTACGACCCTGTTTGATGGTGTCACTAGATACCTGTTATATGACCCTGGCTGATGATGTCTCTAGATACCTGTTCTAATATGACCCTGGCTGATGGTGTCTCTAGATACCTGTCCTTATATGACCCTGGCTGTTGATGTCTCTAGATACCTGTTCTCCTAAGACCCTGGTTGATGGTGTCTCTAGATACCTGTCCTTATATGACCATGGCTGTTAATGTCTTTACATACCTGTTATATGACCCTGGCTGATGGTGTCTCTAGATACCTGTTCTCCTACGACCATGTTTGATGATGTCTCTAGATACCTGTACTTATATGACCGTGGCTGATGGTGTCTCTAGATACCTGTTATATGACCGTGGCTGATGGTGTCTCTAGCTACCTGTTCTCCTACGACCCTGTTTGATGGCGTCTCTAGATACCTGTTATATGACCCTGGCTGATGGTGTCTCCAGATACCTGTACTTATATGACCCTGGCTGATGGTGTCTCTAAATACCTGTTCTCCTAAGACCCTGGTTGATGGTGTCTCTAGATACCTGTTATATGACCCTGGCTAATGGTGTCTCTAGATACCTGTTATATGACCCTGGCTGATGGTGTCTCTAGATACCTGTTATATGACCCTGGCTGATGGTGTCTCTAGCTACCTGTACCTATATGACCCTGGCTGTTGGTGTCTAGCTATTTGTACTTATATGACCCTGGCTGATGATGTCTCTAGCTAACTGTACCTATATGACCCTGGCTGATGGTGTCTATAGATACCTGTTATATGACCCTGGCTGATGGTGTCTCCAGATACCTGTACTTATATAAGCCTGGCTGAGGGTGTCTCCAGATACCTGTACTTATATGACCCTGGCTGTTGATGTCTCTAGATACCTGTTCTCCTACGACCCTGGCTGAATGTGTCTCTAGATACCTGTACTTATATGACCCTGGCTGTTGATGTCTCTAGATACCTGTTCTCCTAAGACCCTGGTTGATGGTGTCTCTAGATACCTGTTATATGACCCTGGCTAATGGTGTCTCTAGATACCTGTTATATGACCCTGGCTGATGGTGTCTCTAGATACCTGTTATATGACCATGGCTGATGGTGTCTCTAGCTACCTGTACCTATATGACCCTGGCTGTTGGTGTCTAGCTATTTGTACTTATATGACCCTGGCTGATGATGTCTCTAGCTAACTGTACCTATATGACCCTGGCTGATGGTGTCTATAGATACCTGTTATATGACCCTGGCTGATGGTGTCTCCAGATACCTGTACTTATATAAGCCTGGCTGAGGGTGTCTCCAGATACCTGTACTTATATGACCTTGGCTGATGGTGTCTCTAGATACCTGTTATATGACCCTGGCTGATGGTGTCTCTAGCTACCTGATCTCCTACGGCCCTGGTTGATGATGTCTCTAGATACCTGTACTTATATGACCATGGCTGTTAATGTCTTTAGATACCTGTTATATGACCCTGGCTGATGGTGTCTCTAGATACCTGTTATATGACCCTGCCTGATAGTGTCGCTAGATACCTGTTATATGATCCTGTTTGATGGTGTCTCTAGATACCTGTTATATGACCCTGGCTGATGGTGTCTCCAGATAACTGTACTTATATGACCCTGGCTGATGGTGTCTCTAAATACTTGTTCTCCTAAGACCATGGTTGATGGTGTCTCTAGATACCTGTCCATATATGACCCTGGCTGTTTGTGTCTCTAGATACCTGTTCTCCTACGACCCTGGTTGATGATGTCTCTAGATACCTGTTATATGACCCTGGCTGATGGTGTCTCTAGATACCTGTTATATGACCCTGGCTGATGGTGTCTCTAGATACCTGTACTTATATGACCCTGGCTGATGGTGTCTCTAGATACCTATACTTATATGACCATGGCTGTTAATGTCTTTAGATACCTGTTATATGACCCTGGCTGATGGTGTCTCTAGATACCTGTATTATGACCCTGGCTGATGGTGTCTCTAGCTACCTGATCTCCTACGGCCCTGGTTGATGATGTCTCTAGATACCTGTACTTATATGACCATGGCTGTTAATATCTTTAGATACTTGTTATATGACCCTGGCTGATGGTGTCTCTAGATACCTGTTCTCCTACGACCCTGTTTGATGGTGTCACTAGATACCTGTTATATGACCCTGGCTGATGATGTCTCTAGATACCTGTTCTAATATGACCCTGGCTGATGGTGTCTCTAGATACCTGTCCTTATATGACCCTGGCTGTTGATGTCTCTAGATACCTGTTCTCCTACGACCCTGGCTGAATGTGTCTCTAGATACCTGTACTTATATGACCCTGGCTGTTGATGTCTCTAGATACCTGTTCTCCTAAGACCCTGGTTGATGGTGTCTCTAGATACCTGTCCTTATATGACCATGGCTGTTAATGTCTTTACATACCTGTTATATGACCCTGGCTGATGGTGTCTCTAGATACCTGTTCTCCTACGACCATGTTTGATGATGTCTCTAGATACCTGTACTTATATGACCGTGGCTGATGGTGTCTCTAGATACCTGTTATATGACCCTGGCTGATGGTGTCTCTAGATACCTGTTATATGACCTTGGCTGAAGGTGTATCTAGATACCTGTTATATGACCGTGGCTGATGGTGTCTCTAGCTACCTGTTCTCCTACGACCCTGTTTGATGGCTTCTCTAGATACCTGTTATATGACCCTGGCTGATGGTGTCTCCAGATACCTGTACTTATATGACCCTGGCTGATGGTGTCTCTAAATACCTGTTCTCCTAAGACCCTGGTTGATGGTGTCTCTAGATACCTGTTATATGACCCTGGCTAATGGTGTCTCTAGATACCTGTTATATGACCCTGGCTGATGGTGTCTCTAGATACCTGTTATATGACCCTGGCTGATGGTGTCTCTAGCTACCTGTACCTATATGACCCTGGCTGTTGGTGTCTAGCTATTTGTACTTATATGACCCTGGCTGATGATGTCTCTAGCTAACTGTACCTATATGACCCTGGCTGATGGTGTCTATAGATACCTGTTATATGACCCTGGCTGATGGTGTCTCCAGATACCTGTACTTACATAAGCCTGGCTGAGGGTGTCTCCAGATACCTGTATTTATATGATCTTGGCTGATGGTGTCTCTAGATACC